AAAGCTCGTGATGCTTAAGTAAAATGGCTGTTTATAATCATCCAGAGAGACGCCAGAGAAGAAAGTGCTCATCCACATTATATTTTAATAAATAAAAAAAAGTTCTCGTAACTTTATACATCAGACTTTTGCCATTTTTGTCTAGCTTTCTGGATATAGACTGCATAACATTCTCGAACTGTATGTATATGTGTGTTTCAAAAGTGTTTTCTTTTGGAATATAAAAATAAATTTTAATTACTCTGGTAATAAAATGCTTTATAATAAAAAAAGAAACGAAATTTTTTATAGTGAAATATATAAAATATATAAAAGATTCCATGAATATTTTTAGGAGCTCGTATTTTATGAAGATTTAAAGATTTTTTTGTTTCGATAATTAAATTTGATTATCTTTTGAAACATTAACATGCAAATTCATTAGTATTCGGTTTTATCTTTATCCGCGATTTTGTTTCTAAGTGCCTAAAGTAGCAAGCAAAACATGTTTAATTGAATTTCTCAAAACATTTAGAGAATCGTATATGATCGTGCTAATTACAATTCAGGTACCAATTCTGAAAGTGTATCCGTGTTACTTTAAAAAAAAAAAGAAATGTATTAGTACTCTACTTATTTTCGACTCCTATTCGTCGTCAAACGATACGGTCTGCGACAGTGAACTAGCAACATATCTCTGCATACATGTATATACTCGTATATAAATATATATATATATATACATATAGTAAGTGTTAAGTCAATGCACAATTATGTATGCACATCAACCGAGCGCCAGTGGATGCAATTTTTCGCATATGGACTGTCATAAGCTTATCGAAAAATGCGGAGAAGGCGATTCGGAGCGGATTCGATTTGTAATTGTGATTTAATAATTTCTCCGCATCTAGCTTGAAAAGTGCGAATTTCATACATTGAGCACAATCTGAGACAAATGAATTGTTTTTGAAGAAGAGACAGAGATATTTTCTTCTTCTGAAATATCCGAATCGCGTTCTTTATGCATATCCTCCCGAGACCTGACACTATTCTCCTTTTAGTGCGCATCGCACGCATATCTGTATTGCTTCAATATACATATATACATATATATATATATATATATATAAAATTTAGAATCTCGAGAGTAGCGATCATTTAGCAAATTAATATAATTATTTTTATAGCAAGTAACAAGCATAATATATACTTTTCTTATGACGATTACACGCCAAAACGCATGTGTGTATCATCCTAATGTATTACATATATTATATATGATGTACATAAATACAAATGTGTGAGCAACAACAATTGAATTATTATATATTACACGTTTTTAGGTGCATTTCATCTGTTATATATATATATATTTTATGCACTAAAAATAAAAAGAAAAAAAGACAGAAAGAGAGAGAGAGAGAGAGAAAATAAAAAAGTTTACTTATGTAATACACTCATTCATAACATATACACGTATTCTACAAATTTTAATATGTCAATTGCAAACATTTACTGCTATCTATTTATTGTTGCCGAAAAGACAGTGGTTGTGTTGTTCCATATAATGCAAACCATAAATATTTTTATAATAAATCAGCGAAAATATAAAGGAAAATTGTTTGTTGACCATAAAAAAATGTGTGATATACGCGGTGCGCTGAGTCTCGGGAAGATACTCAATCATCAAATTCGCTTTATGACTTACATAAACCATTTTGGCTAGAGTTTCTTTTTCTTTTGCCATTTGATTATGAAAATGTGCGTGCGATAACATTACTATACCGAAGGTAATTTGGACACAATATATCGAAAGAACAGATTGTATATCCCTACAATAAAGACCTAAGCGTTTTATCTGTACATGATATGTGTTGTGTCAAAGCTTTTATGCACGATTAATATATAAATACCCTTATATAATTAAGATTGCAAATTTTTTGAATTATCTTTCTCTCATCACTTTGAGAGATACGTCAAGAAAATTTTATATATTATATTTTGTCTTAGATTTTTTGAAAGTAAACTTTTACAACATTTGAAATTTAAACTCATGTAAATTATACGATTTAATTTTTTTATATAATATTTCTTTTTTCTATATATTTTTGTTTTAACAAGTTTTTTAAAAAATTAATAAAAGATAATATATAAAATAATTTTTAATTATTATTAGAAATAATTTAAGAAATAATTTATAATAAGTAAAAAAATACAAATTAAATACATACAAAAAAAACAAGAATTAAATATAAAAATATATTCGATTATATAGATCAATATGTACATATATATAAAACTGTCCAAACATCTCTTTCTCTATAATACATATTTATCTGAAATATTATCTCGATTAATTATTTTTCGAAAAATGAGTTTCATATATTTGTTTAAGAGTTTAATAAATATTTTTGAAACGCTTTTTTCCAAGTTAAATGTATCATAAAAATAAATTATATACAGGGTGAATCATAATGGATGTAACAACCTTTTACCATTAGAGATCAATTATCGACTGCAACTGTAATCAATTGAATGATTCATAGATGACAGCTGCTTGGATCGACCGTGTCTGCAGTAACGTACAAGCGAGTTAAATACTGTGAATTAAATAATATACATATTCCATGCATACTTTTCTAATATATTTAACTTTTTTATGTACATATTTTGCTTTCTACACGGTTTTTTTCTAATAACGCGATTTCTTATTATTGTGAAACGTATCTGCCACATAAAAAGAGATATCTTTTGCATTCGTGTATTTTTTAATACGATTTTTTTTTAAATAATGATTTTTTAATACATAGAATTTGACGGCGATTTTTTTCATTCTTACACAAATCATTTTAACGCGTAAAAAGAGTTGGATTGGTAAAGATACAAAAGTATTCTTTTTTTATTAAAAAAAATGCGTAATTCTGCTTTCTACAAGAATTATTCTACTTATTATTAATTTTCTAAGTTATAACTTTTACATTCTTAATATCTACAGCAGAATATTTCTTGTAGAAAGTAGAATTACGCATTTTTTTTTATAAAAAAGGAATACTTTTGTATCGTTTACCAATCCAACTCTTTTTACACGTTAAAATGATTTGTGTAAGAATGGAAAAAATCGCCGTCAAATTCTATGTATTAAAATACCATTATTTAAAAAAAATCGTATTAAAAAATACACGAATGCAAAAGATATCTCTTTTTATGTGGCAGATACGTTTCACAATAATAAGAAATCGCGTTATTAGAAAAAAACCGTGTAGAAAGAAAAATATGTACATAAAAGAGTTAAATATATTAGAAAAGTATGCATAGAATATGTATATTATTTGATTCACAGTATTTAACTCGCTTGTACGTTACTGCAGACACGGTCGATCCAAGCAGCTGTCATCTATGAATTATTCGATTGATTACAGTTGCAGTCGATAATTGATTTCTAATGGTAAAAGGTTGTTACAACCATTATGATTCACCCTGTATATATATATATATATATATATATATATATATATATATATATATATTAAATGATTATAATTTTAGGAAAAAAATATATATGTATATATATCTATATTACACATTATATTACATGTATAAACATTATATTATATGTATGAAAAATTATTTTTATTGAAAGCCAAAGAAAATTATTGTACATAATTTGCTAAGTCAATAAGCAGTGTCATGCATAAAATTGCTGAAAGCTATTTATCATTTTTCTTATCATTTCCGTCATTTACATCTTTCAATTATGCATGTATGCTTTATTGAATTCGATTCGAATTTGAATATAAATTTATTTAGATCGAAGCTATAAATTCAATAAATCACAGTTAATTTTGTTGCAAAAAGTTTAAATTTATTTACTTATTATGGATAAATAAATTGCATTATGATTCCATATCATATTAAACATTTTCAGATTATCAATTTATGAATATTGCGCAATATACATATACAACTGTAATTTATAATAATTAAATTAGGATTTGCGAAATTTAGAGAAGAAAGATAATCTTCAAACGATAATATTTTTTAAATTCTCCAATACAAATGTCGTACTAATATATTTTGTAGGAGAAAATAAATAAAATAATGTTTATGCATAGAAATAAAATCTTGCATATTTTTACTAATGTAACAAAGAGAAGAAGTTTGTTAGATATAATATTATTGCATACATTGACATCTGAATAGGTAGACGGAGCCTTTTGAGAGGGGTAACTCATAAATACAATAAGGGGGGAGTGCATGAACTTTGGTTAATTTCGTCAACGTTCGACTATATTCGGACACAATTTGACATTACATGACGATTCCATTGACATCATCGATTCTCAACTAGATCTTCACAGAAATGTTTAAAGAGTGTTTATTTAGAGAAAATCGTTAACGTCGCTAAATATAAAAATAATATAAATATATAATAATATTAAATAATATATAAAATATACATATATAAATATTTATATACATACATATATATATATATATATTTATATACATACATATATATATATATAAATGTATATATATTTAATATTATTTAATATATATATATATATATATATATATAAATTTATATATATTATTTAATATTATTTAATATATATATACATATATATATATATATATATATATATATTAAATAATATTAAATAATATATATAAATTTAAAAATAATATAATAAATATAAAAATAATATGACATTAGTTACAACACAACTTCACACAATACATGTAAGCTGGACTTTGATGTCAATGATTGGAATCGTATTATTAACCGATCATTATCGGAAAAACCGAATTCAACCGAAGTTCGTAGAGTCCCTCCTTATTGCGAATATCAAAGCCCCCCTCGTCTTAATCGATAGCTAATGCTTCGTCTATCTATTCAGATGTTAATGATTGCATATTATTTGTGGCAAAAAACACAAACTTCACGATATATGTACAGGATAACTTACAAATATGGAGAAATGAAATTCATAACAAATCTGATGAAGAATGTATTGTTTATTTCTTTCTTTCTTCAAAAAAACTTGTTAAGATGACATATTGATTACATTAGTGTAACCCAGAAGTTCCGTGACAGTATTAGCAAGTTTAAAGGAGATGTTCTTCATCAAAAGTCGACTTTTGATTCCAGCGTTTTGTAGCGCCAAGTGATACAGATCAGCATAAAACTGTTGGAAAAGACATTCTTCAGTCAGTTATAATTTATGATTTTTTTTAAATGTATTGTCTTTTGGATTCGAGATATGTCAGAGAAATTTTGTATTGACTTATATTAATCTTTCGTAAAATTTAGATGCAGAGTAAGCTATATAATTTAATTTTTATGAGATTATATATGTATTTCTTTAATCACATCTTTGCTCATGATGTGTACATAATTATATATTTTGAATTGTTCTCGAACGGATCGATTTATCTTTAAAATAATTAAACATCAAATGATTGACGTAGTGCTTTAATATTTTGTTAATTAAATGTATTTACCTTTGAATTTTCACCATCCAGAGGTACATCGGAAAATTCTGAACTCACTTCGGTACAGGATACTGTCATTGTTCGCGAGGGAGTTATCAAAAGAGTCAAATTAGTTCGCTAGAAAAAAGGAAAAATAAGATATTCTGTGATAGAAAATCTCTTTAGCCTTCTGTTTTTATTATGTATCCTGCTGCTCGAACGGGAATAGTTGTAACAATGAATCGCTCGACAAACAATCAAATGCTCTACCTCTTTCGCAACGCATCCATGATGTTCTTTGAATTGTATCACAATTTCTCTGGAATTTCGACTAGCATTCCAGCGTGACCAAGAGAATGTATACGTTGTGCAAAGCATAGCGATACATTCTCGCAAGTGCTTCTCCGTTGCCGGATGCTTTACTGACAGAGCCTTTACATAACTAAAGGCATCTCGCTCTGGAAACAGGTCGCATCCAGCATTACGCATCTTCTGTAAAAGAAAAAGATTTGGTGTTAATAAAAAGAAGATAGAAAGAGAGAAGGAGAAATAGAGAGATTACCTCAATCAAGAGATATAATTTCATATATTCCCCAATCATTTCTTTGAGCGCCGTTGACATACCGCCAGCCAGCGAATTTAGACAGATCAAGTCCTCCTACGAAAACTGAATGACATTATTGAATTCATTGCAACATAATTTACATTTTATTTTGAGAAATAGTAACGTTCGCGATATTATTAAGATGCATTTTTAAAAATATGAGAATATCTCGCACGTACACGTAAAAAAATGTATACAAATGTATATAAGAAGGCATTAACGCATTTTGCATTATCGTTTTTCTTTTTTCATTGAGAATTTTTATCTAAAATCATCTTCTCTACATATGAATGTTATTTGAGCAAACTAAAAAATTCATAAAATTTACCCTAACGATAAATTCTGCTTGAATGATGGCACCGGATATATTGAGCACAACTCCGCCGCGCGCGTTTCTGCCCATTTCGGGCTTGAGCTCCCAACTTTGAAAAGGAATGTTGACGAACTTGAGGGCAGCAAGGCCATGGATGCCCAGTCTGCCAGTTCTAAACGTGATAGTTTGCTTCTCCTCGTTGTACTTGATATCGTGTACGTCCTGCGTGGACCATAACTTTTTCTCGGGTATCCAGTGCGCTACTAATGGCGGTTCAAACCAAATAATAGAACTGGGAAGTCTGAAAAAAATACGTACGCGATTAGTAATCAATGTGAAAATGAGAAAGAAATTGGACGCGAGTGAGGTTTTGATCTTGATCCTCTCAAGAAAATTTTATCCAAATTAATTTTTATAATTTTCTTCCTTCTAAAGAAGCGACCTGTCTATAAGAGAACTTTTCATGTGTCTAGCCATTGTATCAAATTTCCTAATAATTACTTTTTAAGTGATTCATCTATTCCACAATTTCGCTTGTTACGTTATAATAAAATCTTGCTTGTAACAAGATTACAAGGAATTTATTAGATTATGAAAGAGATACTCTGAGAAAGGATAAGTTTGTTGGAAACTGTGTGTTATAGAACATACTTCAAAGTTACCAGAACCAGCTCCTCCATCGCAGTCTCCAGAGCTTTCATCTCTGCTTCGATCACTTCCGGTGTTCTTTCAGAATCAGGCGCCGGCGGTGGCGCCTTATATGGTTTACAGAATGGTACGAATTTCAATTTCTTGGGAATTTGTACTGCAAAGAAGATGAATTTTAAATATGAAAAGATATATTTATAAATATAATAATTATTTGGAATTAAAATAATCATGTGTTACATGTCGTAAGCATGATATCTTTGATCATGTCCTTTGGTTGCGGCGGCTGATAAACTAAATCGATATGCAATATACCGCCGAGTATCCTGTATTTTCGCAAATTTATTTCCGTTTTCTCGCATCGCGTAAACAGTAATTTTCTAATTTCCTTTCGCGATTCATCTGTAAAGAAGGGAAACAATAATATATTTTTCTTTTCGTTATATTAATCACTTCGATTTTCCACGGAATATTAATAATAATTCCGTGATATTATAAATAAATTACAACAAATCGAAAAGATTTCTATGAGTTATTTAGTCCTATCTTTAACATAAAATAAGAAGAAAAAATTGTGTAATGAAATTAAAAAGAATTCGTGACGCATCAAAATATGCGTGTTCGTAGATTGGAAATACAGAGATTCGTGTACCCTCTCTCTGTAAAATTATCTCGTCCGGTGTAGGTAAATACGGTAGCTGTTCCGTTTCCTGTTCCGGTTCTGGACGCTTTGCTCCCGGCGCACCCGCTTTCTTTGGCTGCTTCCCTTTCCTCTCGGGTTTCGTGGGCACCTGAACCGGTGGGTTCTCTATTCTCTCGAGTATAGCTTTTTTCTCTTCCAGTCGCAAGTAACGGCCTTCGACCTGATCCTCGCGTATTTTCAATTTTGTATCATACTCGTTTTGGCAGAAAGAAAGAAAATCTAAAATATTCACGTAAGAAGAAAATCCAAGTCACAGAGATGAAAGTATACCTATAGTATTCGCGTAATAAATACATAAATATTGACAATATTTGCAGTACATACCTATATCATACATGCTTTCGTATTCGTCTGGCAATCTTGGCACGACATACGAGATCGCGCAATCGGAATTGTAATCGTGATTTAGCCACAAGGCCCGAATCGCCATGCAGTAGCAATCGATGTCGAGAGGCATCTTGACGGTCAATTCCAACTCCTCGAAATGCACTTCGATCGGTTTTCTATCGAAAAATACGAGCGATCGTTATTCCAACTAAACTGACATACGTTTATACACATGGGGAAGCAAATAGATAAATGTATCCACGATCGTCGACACGTGCCGATCTTTATCGGTGACCTGTTTAAGTCCGATGGGCAATTTTATCAAAGCCCAAACGCAGTAAATAATCTGATCGGAGACGTTGGTATATCTCGCCGTTTTTATACCCTCGCGAACCATGTCCCTCTCTATTTCACGCAGGAGAGAGTAACACGCCGCGTCTGTCCATTCTCGAAGCTTGTCTCGGAATCGTTGTCTGATCTGTGCAAAATACAGAATGATGCGAATGATTTTTGAACGATCACTTTATGAAAAGTGAAAACCACAGCGAGTTAATCGATCGACTCACCATCTCGCATTCGGTTATGTAATCGGACGGTCTCGTTATAGAAAATCGTATTATCTCATCGAGTCTCGTTAAAAGCTATAAAAAAGATTTTACTCTCGTACAACTGGTAGAAAGAATGTTTTATTCACAAATTAACAGCGAACGGAAATGTCTACTTTGACAAATTAAATGACGTAATATTTAATTACGATACTGATTATCTTAATCGTATAAAGATTCACGTACGCTGATGATAATATTGTATCTCACGATGAAATTGTTCATGTTAACTTTCTCATCCTCCATGGACCATAAAAATATGTAGGTATTCATTTCGGATAAGCTCCCGGGGTCTGGCAATCCATCGCATGTCATATATCTGAGCCACTATAAACAATTATTACATTATAATGATGTTCTATCACGTGATCGTATTTATAAAAGCCTTTTTTTTATTTATATAATCTAAATTTAATTCTTATATTTAATTTTACGATTCAACAACAAAAAATAACTTTTTTCACAATTTAAATCGCAAATTTCTTTGTATTGTAATATGCAGAAATTTGCAGGAATTTGCAGGAATTTAAAAAAGCCGCTGCAAATATTATTTTTTTTTCTTATCGAATTATGTCATTAATATACTCGAAACATTTAATTTGTGCTAGCAAATCAATAAAAGTATCAGTAAAAGTATATGAAATCAATAAAAGAATCAGTAAAAGTATATGAAAAACATATATACGTATGTATATATTATATAACAATATTAACAGAATATATTCTATAACAATAAATGTAACAAAAGAACAGGGTATTTACATTTTCCTCTTCTTCGGTGACAGCTACGTATTTTGCAAACGCATCTTTATAATTGCGAAGCACACATTGCGTCTCCTCCAACTGAACTTTACGCATCTGCGCATCCTGTTCCTCAAGTAACGCTTGTCTCTCCATATTGTACTTCTCCATACGAATTTCCTCATGCATGTCTTTAATCATCTGCGTTCTTTTCAAGATACTTTGCGTTAATATATTAATAAAAAAAACTTAAACTCTAAAAGCTCAAAGTGTCATATTTTATCAATTGACAACAAATTGTTGGTATGACAGATTAATCTGTTTTTAGATAATCTGTGAGAATTTTTTTTCAAATCGATTCACATAATGTCGCGAATTGATGCAAAATTAGTCGGGATAATAAAGTTGGAAAATTTTTTTAGATTAACTTGACTTGATTCAGGACTAAATAAGTATTGATTATACACGCGCTTTTACATCTAGTGTTTATGCGTTAAATAATTTAATCTTGCTTCCTCTTCTTTCGTGTATCACTGAATAGCTTTTACCTAATTTTCTCGGCTTCAGCAGCTGCGTTTGCCGCCTGTTCTTTCTCCAACGCTGTGCGTGCTTTCTTCGTCATTATTTCAATTTCTAGAAGCTTGGGCTAAATCGATCGTACGATAATATATCCTTCCTTTAATAATGTGGTTACGTGCAAAATATGCAATGATTGATACCTGAAAACATGACAGTTATTTATGATATTTTCCAATATCTTTTTGATATTATTAAAAGATATTTTTAAAAAGTTGAATAAAAATTGAATGCAATATGCTTTATATATAATTAAAAAATACTAAATAGAATATAATAAGAATATAAGAATAATTAGAATACAATATCACAATTAAAGTAACCATAAAATGATCTTTTTAGTCTTAATTTTTTCGTTTAATGATAAAAAGTATATAATTAATATTAAATCAAAAATCTATATGATTTTCTGTTTGCTGATGTCGAAATTGTAGATATATTAATTAACATAGCAAAAATTTAATAATAAAGAAAACATTTGCATTGCGATAGTCGAATTTTATAATATTTAGATATGTAACAGAATTACCTGTATCACATTCCATTCACGTAACTGAAACAAAAATTTATTCAGAAGCAATATATATGTATATAATAGTATAGTATTTTTTATATCTTTTTATCTGATACATATCTTAATACATACAAATATACATGTGAATGCTTTATAATAAAAAATATATCTTTTAACATGACAATATTTACATATTGTATTATTTATAGAAATCATTGTATAATTTATCAGTTAATTATTCATTGGTATACAATTGCTTAAATTTAAAATCGAATCGAACAAGCTACGTCACAAAACGTGCGTTAATTAATATAAATATGGAATTGTCAAAAAATTTGTTTACGATACAATGTAACTTTCTTTTAATATCTGTGAAAAAGAAACATCAAAAAAGTCTCTCGAACGATTAAAAAATATCTATTAAATTACAAGAAAAAAAAGATATTAAAATAATAAATTATTTTCCTGTAAAAGTGTGATATAATTGATTTCTAAATCAATTATAAATGAAATCTAGGTTTAAATCTAGCCCTTTCTAGTAAATAATCACAACAAATATATAACATACTAGAGACGAGAAAGCCGATAGTTTTCTCATCCTTGATAATTGCCATTGTATAAGGCTTTCATCTTTCTCGTGATTGTCATACAAAATTTCCGGATCTGAGATACAACAAAAATGATCTTTGTCTTTGAAAAGAAATATCGCGTCTATCAGCCTAGTTTCTTATCTCCAATGCTCTCCACAGTCACTTTTGCAATTTTAACTTTACTCCGAATAGGATCCCTAAAGTAAATAGAAAAATTTTAATAAAAAAGAATAAAAACCTCTTACGTTAATATAGATAAAGTCTTTTCAAACATGATGAAATTGTGCAAATAATCAATATCAATAAATATCATCTTTATGGCGCGAACAATTATATGATCATATGATATTACATATAAAATTTTCATACTTTTCGAGAATGTCTTCGTCAGGATCGAAACGAATAGGACTAAAAGCAACAACGGAATGTCGTGCTTTATGCAGGATTTCTTCTTCAGATTCCATATTAATAGCGTACATCCGCATTATATAAGCGTTCTGCTCTTTATTGCGTTCAATTATTGAGTATCGTAAAAGATATCCTCACGGAAAGATTGCATGATTGAAAATGGAATACAATAATGCTAAATGTAACGCATATAATGCTAAATACGCCGCATTAAGAAAGCGAGGAAATGATCAAATATAAAATGGTGCAAGTCATTCCAATCGAAATTCAATCGAATTTCTCGTCAATGAGATTCATTAATTTCAAAAACTTAGGTTAATCAAAAACACACGTCAAATATCGCATTATACAGTATGCGTATGCTCGCATACACATCAATATACATTGATGTAATAAAACAAAACACTAAAATCATTTAATCATTTAGTTACCAAAAATTATCATTAAATAGTAAAAAATGTTTGAAAACATATATATTATATTTTATATATTTAAAAATATATAAAAATATACATGTACGATGCTACTAATTACATACATATACGAACATTTTTGAGTAATTTGCGTAGGAACACTTTTTTATCTCATGATAATGTATGTAAACAAAGTTAAATGCTACAAAATTGAAAACAACTTATTGAAATAAATTTATATTTATGGTTGACTTTTTTGTATTTAACAGCGAATTTACATAATTAATTTTACTTTAAAATGCTAAAGAAAAAATGTATTTTTATTTGTATGCCATCAAAATATACAAAAATAGGAAAAGATGTGGATATATATGAATTTGCATTTTCAAATTTAACTTTTATAACACAAAAATATGTATGAATATGCATACGATATGATATATACCGGCTATAAAAAATATTTCAAGAAGAATTATAATGTGATAAAATAATGATCGATATTTAAATTAAATGATTAAAATTAAACGTTAATAAATTAGTCGCCGGTTCACAGATTAATGTCGCTTACAAATTGATGAGTAATGCAGGAATAATACAAATATATATATAAGAAATATTTCATTTATCGATCTTTTCAGATTCATTCGTGATTTTATTCGGATACATTGTTATAAGATAACAATAGAATTTATAAGTTTTCTATAATCCATTTGACTGAATACGCGCATTATTTTATTTTCGGTATATTTAATCATTTCGATATTGTTACAATTGTGAAAAATGGATAAAGAAACGACTTTGTCGATACCAACATTTTATTCTGGAAGAAGTATATTTATCACAGGCGCATCAGGATATTTGGGAAAAGCGTTGATAGAAAAATTGCTGAGATCATGCCCCGATACGCGAGAAATATTCTTATTAATGCGCCCGAAGACCAATATGTGCATTGAGGAAAGACTCCAGCAAATACTGGCAAACTCGGCAAGTAGTATAAGAGAAACAGTTAAAAATATTAATATTAATTTATATTTATAATAATATTACATATATACAAGAAAGTTCAATACATATTGCAAGCAACTCCAGAACAATTTGACCTATTCATACTTTTTAAATGTCCAGACGAACTTTATAACAATGATAAAGTACGCCCTTCATAAAATAACTTTAATTTTAATTTTAAGTAGAATTGTAAAAAAAATTTATAATTTTTCGAATTGTACGGAAATACAAACTTTATGTAAAAAAATCGAATTATTAACTTGTACTTCCCTCATCTTAGTCTTGTATCATCAAGTCCACTTTATATATAATATTGTATCATAAAAATGTTGTATTTATTAATAATTCGTTTATTTATTTATTTCTATCTGTATATACACACACACACACACACACACACACACACACACACACACACACACACACACACACACACACACACTCTAAAACGTATAGATTTTCCAAATTTATAGGATTCAAGAAAATTATACCATTTTATGTGTATTATTTTCTGCAGTTATTTGATAGATTACGCAACGAACGACCCCATTGTTTCAAAAAATTGATTCCGTTGAAGGGTGATATCAAAATCGAGGGATTAGGTTTGTCATCTGTTGACAGAAACACTTTGATCGAAAGGGTATCTATAATATTTCACGTAGCGGCGAATGTGAGATTCGATAATACACTAAAGAAGGCTATATTTATAAACCTTCGGGCGACAAGAGACATCTGCGTTTTAAGCAAAAGTTTAAAAAATTTGATGGTAAGTGATCATATAGAAATATCGAGATGATATGTTTTTCATCTGAAAATTCTGCGCGATTAATTACAATTTAAAATAATTCCTCGCAAATATTATCGCATCAACTAAATTTTATTCTTAAGGTTTTGGTGTATGTCAGCTCGACTTATTCGCAAGTCGATAAATTCGTCGTCGATGAGATCGTATATCCAATGGAAATCGACTGGAGAAAAACAATTCAAATTGCCGAAACCATGGATGATTATGTCTTGGAGGTATTTAAATCAAAGTGAGTGTTAAATTTTTACATTGATTCCTCTATCTCATATTTTATGATATTTTTTAATAAGTTATAAAAATTATATATGTACTTTTATTATAATAATTTTATATACCTTTTGATAAAGTTTAAATTCTTTTTTATTTACATATTATATTTATAGCCATTGCATTGCAAACAACTTTAAAATAATTTTCTGTTCAGTGCTCATTTGAATTATTTAATTTTTCATAATTAATCTGAATAATATTGTTTTCTTACATTTCTATTTATGTAGCTCTGACATATCTTCGAGATTATTTGCAGATATTTAGGCGCAATGCCGAATACATACACATTTACCAAAAAACTTGCGGAACAGGTGATAACTGATTATTCCGAATCACTGCCATGCGTGATTTGCAGACCATCTATAAGTACGTTATGTCAAATAAATGTATATATCATAAAAGAATATTTTAACGTAATTTATCACTATGATTCAATGTAATTGTAATTATGATTGGTTTTATGGATTTTATATATAAATTTTATATACAAATTACTCCACACACGTTTAATATACAATTCTTTTAATATTAAACAAAGATAAATTAAACAATTTACGTTTTACATTATTTCGAATAATATCAAAACAGTTTTTTATAAAATCAAAAAGTATTATCCTATGTTTCTTCTTCTGCATAATTTAAATTAAATAATAAGATAATCTATATACAGATTTATTGATATGAAATTCTCCTAAATTAAAATTTTCTATATCCAGTTTCACCAGCGATAAACGAACCTGCAAAAGGCTGGTTGGAAAACTTTAACGGTCCAGTGAGACTGATGGTCGGTTGTGGAAAAGGGATAGTACGAGTGTTTTACAATAATCCATTTGCTTCTGACAATTATATACCAATTGACACTGTTGTTAAAGCTATGATTGTTGCGACATGGAAGCGTGGCGTGATGAAGTACGTAGAAGTAGATAAATTGCATTCTTATAAATCGTTTTTTATTCGAGAAATAGCTGTAGAATATGTCATATAAAATTATTTAATATATATTATAATATAATTAAATATTATTAAAAGTATATTTAATTAATTAAATAATTATAAAATTTAAAATACGATAAAAAAATATGTTATAGAAAGTTTGTATAATAAGTAGTAATATCGTTTTCTGTAAGTTATTTAATGATTATTTCAATTTTTAATTTTATTAGCAAGAACAACGATATGGAAAATATTCATCCACTCGTTTATAATTGCTCGACTGATCATAACACGAATCTATCACGCTTAACAATGTTGCAAATGAGCAAGCGAATCCTCCTTTCGGAGATTCCTTTTGAAAACATAATCTGGACTCCTGAAACAGTTATGATACAGAATCATTTTTTTTATAGAATATTAGTATTACTGCTGCACGTGATACCGGCCATATTTATCGACGGATTATTACGAATTGTAGGCAAAAGTTCTAGGTAAAATTTTATTGATCAATTACAATGTACTTGTTAATCTTAATTCAAAGAAGATTAAGAAAACAAAAATAAACTTAAACATATTTTACCTTACATTATACAATATAATATAAATAGGGAGACGTTAAGGAAACTTTTCTAAAAATTCTTTTTCTTGGATCAAAGTAATTTCTTCCTGATTGTTAAAAAGAAATATATTAAGAAAAAAATATTATTATAGAACAGAATAGTATTTTATTTTGTAGAAATATATACACTTATACATCGAGACGTTAGTAAAATTTTGTTTAAATATTTTTAGATTATTGAAACAATATAGGAAAATATTTACAGTTAACAATCATGTCGCGCATTTTTTATTCAACGATTGGGACTTTCGAAATCAAAAACTATTAAGTTTATCAAATGAAATACCGCTTGGCAATCAACAAGATTTTGGGTTTATGGCAGACGTAAATTACAATGGTGACAAGCTACTGTATTATAAGTGAGTAAAACAAAAACTGTTCATCGCACGATCGCAAAATTTACCTATTTTCAGAAAACAAGCAAAAGATTAGTATTAATCTCATTTTTGTTTCTCTTGAAAAATATTAATTTTAAGAAAAAGTAACAATCAGTTCTAAAGACGAAAACATTTTTTAATAAAATAAGAACAATTTTGTGTATCTGATTAATACTGCGAGACTCATAAAAAGTTTTTTTGTATAAAATGTGTTATCGAATAAAATATTTTCTCTCGTAGAAATTGTCTAATTGGAGGTAAAATTTTTCTTTTAAACGAGAGCATGGATCAAACAAAGTTAGATGCAACGAGATTCCATCATAAAAGGTGAGATTTTAAAGACTGCATGTTCCACAGTTATATACAAAACATTACGCTATTCCTTCGTATTTATTGTTTTAGTCGCATAACAAATAAATTTTTTCACATAATTATTGTAGCTATAAATATTTACATTACTCAAAATAATTTAACTTTCTCATAATACTTAGAAAACTTAGAATACTTAGAATACTTAGATAAGTCTTTATAAATATTATAATAAATATATAATACTTTGATTTTTCTTGATTTATTAAACTTTATTTGATGTTTGATTATTAAACTTGGTTTATGTTTTGAGCAAAAAAAAAAATATATATATATATATATATGTGTGTGTATAAAACTAAGCTTTCTTTATAGATTTAATTAGTCGAATTATTTTAAGAGAGATCTAATTAATGATTTGAAACAAACATTATTATTATTGTTAGTCCCGAATAATAATTAAATTTATTTTATGACTACAGAATGCTTTGGATAGACAGAATTGTGAAAATATTAATCGGCATTGTCTTCGTATGGATAATATGGACTCGATATATGAACATGTATTGATTGTTCTACGAGAGATAATTTGGCTTCATAAATAACCGTGGTCATATCGAAATATAATCTAGATCATTAGTAGATTTATAGATAACTGTATACAAATTGATTTCTGTAATATCTAATTTATTTCTATATTATATAATAATATAGAAATATAATTTCGCATTTATATTAATATAATTTTGCCTTTAACTATTGTATTATTAAAGAAATATAATCGAATATATATTTTGTTTGGTGATAAAAAGGAAAATTTGTCAAATATTGTATTTTGCCATTGTAGTCTATGAAGAAAAAAAGATGTACTACGATATAATATAATGTAGATCATTGCATAAATATGCAAAAACATAAATTCCTAGATTTATCCAGACCTTCACCTAGCTTACGTTTGCTTACGTTAATTATTTTGTAATTATCTTTATGTCCTATATTCTATGTACAATTGTTTATATTCAATCTTTTTGTAGAATTACAAGTGTAAAATAAATTGCAAAATTTTATATTACTATAATATTTACTATATCACTGCATATCACTGCATTGTAAGTTTGCTCTTTCAACTTTAGCTTGCAGAATTTCCGTTTTATTAATATATACAGACGTATACGTCTGCTTAGTAAATGATTATATAGCATATAACGGTTTTTCATTAAATAGCGTGGGTCGTTGATGACTAGTTCCAGTTTATCACTTCTATCCGATCGTACTCTTAATAATAATATCGATATAAAACAAACGAGACTATTTCCGAGTGCTTGCATATATTTTTGGCTAGTATCTAGTGTCGTTATTATAATTTATATTGGTGTTATTTTTTTACTTAACGATGGATGAGAATATAATTGATCCAACCAACTCAATTGCAACATTTTATGTTGGACAAAGTATATTTTTAACAGGCGCGACAGGATTTCTGGGTAAAGTATACATCGAGAAAATATTACGATCTTGCCCAGATGTTTGTGAGATATTTGTATTGATGCGTTCGAAAAAAGGATTAAGCATTAACGAAAGACTCGAAAAGATATTAAACTTACCGGTAAGTTAATTACCGATTATTACATAAGTAGATTCTTTTTTTACAACGTTTTCCTATTTTTGTAAAAACTTTAGTATATTTAAGTGGCAAAATTTGTCTTATAAATTTTATTATATAAGATACTTTTTATTTTAAAAAGTTAATTTTAAAATTTGATAAAAGTATACGATAAAAAACATGAAAAGATATTATAAACATTATAAGATATTATAAAATAATCAAAATATTTTGATTTTTATGCAATATTATTAAAGGTTTGTTAGAATCAAGGCAATTATTATAATAAATACGTCACATAATATATTTTCTTTCAGTTATATGATAGACTGCGAAAAGAGCAACCCTCAAATTTCAAAAAATTAATTCCGATTTCCGGTGATGTCACTGAAGAAAACTTAGGATTGTCAGCTGTCGATAGGCAAATGCTAACAGAAAGAGTGACTATAATAATCCATTCAGCGGCGAGTGTAAAATTTAATGACAGCTTAAAATACGCTATTCTTTCCAATACTAGATCAACAAGAGATATCTGCATTTTAGCTCAAAGTATGAAGAATTTAATAGTAAGTATAAACCAATATTTTATTTATATTTTTATTTACATTATCTTCTATTGCGTATATTGTTTTATATGGTATAGTGTATTTTATAAGACATTTAAAATTTTATTTATACAGGTTAAATATATTATTATAAAAAGATGTCACAATATCTATCAATAAATTATTTAATTTAATAAAATAGCAAATATTAAAAATCTATTGTTATTATAAAAAAATTTTTAAACTGTCATATATATAAAAAAAATTATAATTAAATGATTAACAGAAAAATGAAATAATCTATGACACATATACACACACATATATATATATATATATATATATATACATATATTATTTTATATTTATCTTTGTCTTAATTTCAATTTTTTTATGAGAATTGTAGCCAATTTTAAGTTTAAATTTCTATTATTTAAAACAAAAAATGTAATGTTGTGATATTTTATTACATTTATTTATTAAAGGCACTTGTGCATATCAGTACAGCATTCGCACATATAAATAATGCTTTCGTAGAAGAAAAGGTTTACCCACCTATAGCCGATTGGCGGAAAATGATCAAAATGGTCGAGTCATTAGATGAACATATTATAGATATTTTTACAACTAAGTAAGTATGATAAGATAAAATCAACCATGTTATACGTGTTTGTCAGTTTCAAGTATGCGGGATATATATTCAATTTAAAAAATATAATACCATCTTTTTTCATTCGCATAGTATCATTACAATCATTTTCGGAGACTTTATTAATTTTCCATATATTATATATATATAATTTTTGAAATATTATGTACAGATGTTTGAATAATTTTCCCAATACATATATATATATTCAAAGAATTTAGCTGAAACTATAATAGCGGAATATTCTTCATCATTACCTTGTGCGATTGTAAGACCTTCTATAGGTATGTTACTCTCTCTATTTCCTTAAAATGTTAGAAATAAGTTCTTATTTTTCTCTTTGTATACTTATATCAAAATTGTCGAAAATAAATAATAAATAAATAAATATATATATATATATATATGCAGAGTCTTCAACAAGTCCCGGAACGCTAAAATAATATCTCAAAAACGATCAACTATAATAAAAAATATGTAAGAAACAAAATTGTAGGACTAAATAAAATGTACCTAATAATGATAAGAATTTGACCTTAGTTGAAGTACTCAAAGTCATATAAAGATGAAGTTGATTTTTTTAAATGGATCTCGCCATTTTTTATTGCATATTCTTATAGCTTATCTCGAGAGCTTTTCAAAACACTATAATTAAGTTAGTTTTCATTAAGTACTTTCCGAGTTATGAGGCTTGAAATCGTTTCTTAATTTTACATAAATCGTAAAATTTCTTGTAAAATATTCATTATTCGATTATCTTACCTTAGTACTTTTATGTACAAAATAATAAGAAGAATCAATTGGTGTAAAGAATACATACCGTTCCTTTTAAGAAAAAATATGGTATTGTTAATTACAAATTATATATTTTTTCTTAAAAACAACTATGTTTTTTCTTTACACCAATTAATTCCTCTCATTATATATATATATATATATATATATATATATATATATATATATATATATATATATATATATACAGGGTGTCTGCTAAACATGCGGCAAAAATTCAGGGGGTGATTTATTGGGTTATTTTAAGACTTTTTTGTTATCTGATGATTTTCGAAAAAATACTTTGTTTCGAAAATAAAAGCAATAAAAGTTTTTGACCAATTTTTTATTCCATAGATAACGGGCGATACAAATTTTTTAACAAAATTATTGAAAATTACAAGAAAAAAAAAAATTGATCAAAAAACTTTTATTGCTTTTATTTTCGAAACAAAGCATTTTTTCGAAAAATTGGTCAAAAAACTTTTATTGCTTTTATTTTCGAAACAAAGCATTTTTTCGAAAATCATCAGATAACAAAAAAGTCTTAAAATAACCCAATAAATCACCCCCTGAATTTTTGCCGCATGTTTAGCAGACACCCTGTATATATATATATATATATATATATATATATATATATATATATATATTCATTTTCCTTTAAAAATGTATAAATAAAAAATACCTTGATATCACTAACATAAGCAATAATTATCTAAAAAATATGATTCGTTTTTTAGTGACAGTTTCATTGAACGATCCATTTCCAGGATGGATAGATAATTTTTATGGTATAACTGGAATACTCGTTGGTGGTGCGAAAGGAGTAATACGAGTATTCAATGCTCCTAAACATATTTGTATAGATGCAGTGCCAGTAGACATTGTCATCAAAGGTATAATAATCACAACTTGGCAGCTTGGATTGAACACGTACGATTATCAACAGAAATATCAATGCATATCTAAATATGCATATTCAATTGCATTAAGCTACAAATACGAAAATGGAAGTTTTCTTTCTTCAATTAAAATATATCAACATTTTAGAAGAATCGTACGCATCTTACTTAATTTCTCTTTTGTTAATCTTTTGTCCCATTAAAAAGTTTAAAATTAAAAAAGGTTAATTTCTGAGTGAACTCTCTTAAATACAATTTATTGCACGTATAATTAAATTGATGATTTAAAATAATCACGTTTGTTTAAATTTTCAATGCTCAGTTCACCAAAACTTTGAGTGATAAAATATTGTAAATTTTTCAAAAATATTGTTGAAGCTTAATGCAATTTTTATATCTTGTATAAGTAATAATTTGATTAATTCGTTTTCCTATTTACTAGCTTCCCGACAGATCAACCTTTTATCTTAAATTGTGCTTCTTCTAATAAAAAAAACTTATCACTGCAAGGAGTTATCAAAATGGGTTTTCAACTCACAAAGGAAATACCCTTGGAGGGAATTGTTTGGACTCCTAATACAACACTTACTAGTAGTTCCATCACATATTACATATTGACAATATTATTGCATATTTTGCCAGCTATGTTAATAGATCTGATTTTAAAACTTGCGAAATATCAACCTATGTAAGTACCAAACTAACTAATTATGTTATTGTCTTAGAACACACAGATCATTCATACCTCATTAGATACTGGTATTATTAGATATTTAACTGAATTGAGGAAAGATTAGAAAGAGAGAGGAAAAGAAAAAGAAATATTAGAGAGAAAAGAAACATACTATTTAAATATTAATAAAATACTTTATTTTTAATGCAAAATGTTTTCCTTTATCATAAATAAATCCAAAATATTAACTTACGCATATTTCCTTTGTACAAGTAGGCAAAAAACTTATTAGAAAAACGTTTTTTAACGCAATCACACACATCTCTATAAAATAATATATCTGTCTTTTTAAAGCTTTTTATTAAACTTTTCATATTTCCGAATTCAATAATATGGCTAACATAAATGTATAAATATTAATAAAGCATTTATGCAAATGTATAATATGTAGGTTAATAAAAATGCAAAGAAAAATATACGTGGCTAATTGCGCTTTAAAACATTTTGTATATAATGAATGGAAATTTGAAAATAACAATGTTATGAAATTACTGACCTTGATTCCACCCAAGGACAGAGAAGTATTTTCAATCGATCTACTTAATATTGATATTAAGGACGTATATAGGTGAGTGTTTTTTATTAATTTAATTTTTTACGTTACATTTATATCAAAGATAATGTTAAATAATTAGATATTTATTTTATAAAATGAAGGAATGGTATAATTGGAGCAAAACTATATCTCCTCCACGAGGATATGAATCGATTAGATGCAGCCAAAACGCATCGTAAAAGGTAAATATAAAATATTTTATAAACAGAAAATTGCTATCATTATGAGGAATATAAGGCTTAAAATTAGCTATTAAACAAGACCTTAAAAAATTGATTATTATCCTATTATATTAAGTAAAAATGATTTCAATTTTTATGAAAATAAGAATTCAACTTTAAAGGCACTTTTAAATTTGTATTCAAATCACACATTGATATTGTGTAATATATATTATATGATTTAAATAATAGAATTTTCATAGAATTATTATAAAGTAAATTATTAATACATAAGGAATTTATTAGATGTATGTGAAATAAAGACAATAAAATTAAAATAATTTGTTATAAATAAATATTATGGAAATAATCAAGATGTTTATAATGTGTTTATTCTGCAAATATTTTAGGATGGATTTATTTGTTACGACATTGAAAACTATTACCATTATTGGATTACTGTGGATGATATATAAGTGGATCTGTACTTAAATATTTTCAGAAATATATAATTATAATGTAATACGTAATAATAATTAATGTAATATAAAGAATAATACAAATAAGAATATAATAATGTAAGACAGAAATAATAAATAAATAAATAAAATAAATAGAAATAAATAAATTAAATAAATAAATAAAATGAATACAATTCTATATGTATTTGTGATGTAAGACGCAAGAAGATTTGTAATTATGCATGTATAAACCGCTTGTTTATTATCACACTGTTGCATTTGTCTACGAAAAGAATCACATAATTCACATGATATATGCAGAGCAAAATGCGAATATGGAAGAACTTGCTCTTTTGAACTTTAAGCATATCATTACTATCCGATAGCTTCTGCGTCATTTCCTGCACACAAAATTCATTGTGTTGTTCATTCACATTGTCATCTTTTATCGAAGACGAAGTACTGCGACTCTCATTTCAAGTTCAACTGTCGTGACTTAAATTCAAAATAATTTGATTTTTTCAATTTTTTTAGATTGGCCTTCAAATAAAATCTTGCCATTTCGTTATCTTTTATTTTATTCATTTTTTACCGGAAACAGTTGCGTTTAAACATGAAGAAAGACGTGGCAAATACATTTATACCAGCATTTTATGCTGGTCGAAGCGTTTTGATATCAGGATGTACTGGATTTTTAGGCAAAGTGCTATGTGAGAAATTGCTACGTTCTTGTCCTGACATTGCTGAAATATTTGTCCTGATAAGGCCGAAGAAGCAATTAAACGTCAACGATAGACTCAAAGAAATGTTAGAAAACAAGGTAAAATCATGATAAGATTATACATATATATATATGTTTTCGCGCAAAGAATAAATTATTATAAAAAAAATTTGTCTCTGTAAATACAAAGAAATTTTACTCGAGTTTAAAAACTATATAATTTGTTTAGAAAATAGTTAAACAAATAATTATTTTCGAAAGTCAAAAGAATATTTTGTTTCTTTTTTTTTAAATAAAAATTTTCTTAAAATAAATCAAAATAATGAAGAATCCTTTAAAATTTTCCAATTAATTTTTTAAAAATCCAAAAAGAAATAATTTTCAATGCAAACACAATACCGTTAACGTGATTAACATTTTTTAATTATGAAATATGAAAAAAATCTTAATATAAGAAATGTTTTTTCTTATTTTTTTATTTGAATAAAATTGTGTTATAGTATTGTTATTGTTTATATATTTTTATTTAACAATTTTTTCTTTCTTTTAACACCTGAGATGTAAAATTAATAAAATGCAATATGAATGCAATATGAATCATGCTAATAATTATTGATGATTGTTTTAGCTTTTTGACATTTTGCGAAGCGAGCAACCAAGTGCTCTCAATAAACTTATTCCTATTGCAAGTGATGTTAGTGTTGAAGGTTTAGGATTACTTCCTTCCGACAGAGAAATGCTAATCGAAAAAGTAAACATAATATTTCATGTTGCGGCAAGTGTAAGGTTTGATGACAATTTGCGTAAAGCGATATTCAACAATACGAGATCAACGCGGGATTTGTGTATTTTAGCAACAGAAATGAAAAAATTAGTAGTATGCATATTTTTACTTATTTACATTTAAAATCAAATGTATCGCTATTTCTATACAAATAATTAATAAATGAGATTAGATTGATAAATATGATTATATGATTTTGAGTAGTAAAATCTTTTATTACTAATTGTAATAAAGATTAATATAGAATAAAGATGAAATTAATACTTACAATAAGGAGTTATTTACAATAACTCTTTACTGTAAAAAAGAAAAAAATTTAAAATTATGCAAAACCATACATTTGTAAACTTTGTTTTGCGTTTAAAACATTGAGATGCGACTAATTTTATATATTATTATTTATATTTTTGTAATAAACAATTAGCAAAGTCTGAAAAGCTTTTAAACGTTACTTACGGTCAGCAATATTTCAAACAATTTCATCGAAATTAATAAATCACGAAACACAAAATGCTTCATAATGAAAGAAAAATTTATTTTAGTCTAATATTTATCACACACATGCCTTTATTATGCGTGTCATCGAAAATATTGTAAATTCCATAAAATATTTATATTTAATTCATACATGTGAATGATTCAAGGTTTTGCTGCACGTTAGCTCGACATATACTCAAACTGACAAATCTGTGGTTCAGGAGACTCTGTATCCCTCGGAACTGGATTGGAAAGAGGCGATTAAAGTAGCCGAAACAGTAGACGAGTATACTTTGAGGACATTTACAGCAAAGTAAGTTATACAGGGTGTCCCATTTTAATGTCCCATCCCAAATAACTTTCTTATTTTTAATTTTAAAGAAAGATGTTTCAAAAGTTGTATGGTTTCTAGGGGGACATAAGATGGTGCCATTGGTTTGACCTTGAAGAGTCATTTGAAGGTCACGTAAAGATCACTTCAATTTTTTTAAATAGAACACCCTATATATTTTTGCACATTTTTGTAGTTCATCTCGAGAGTTTTTCAAAACACTATAATTAAGTTAGTTTTCATTAAGTACTTTCCAAGTTATGAGGCTTGAAATTATTTCTTAATTTTACATAAACCGTAAAATATCTTGTAAAATATTCATTTTTCGATTATCTTATCTTAATACTAATTTAAGTATAGTGTTTTAGAAAGCTCTCGAAATAAGTTACAAGAATATGCAATAGAAAGTAAGGGGTTTCATTTTAAAAATTGAAGGCGACCTTTACGTGACCTTGAAGCAACTATTCAAGGTCAAACTAATGACACTACCTCATGTCCCCCTTGAAATCCCATACAACTTTTGTCTGAAATATCTTTTTCTAAAATTAAAAATAAGAAAGTTATTTGGGGTGGGACATTAAAATTGGACACTCTGTATAGACATATTGCATTGTCGCTTTCATTTCATTAAAATACTTGTTTTAATTTATATTTATAGATATCTGGCAACGATGCCAAATACGTATACATTTTCGAAAAGATTAGCGGAAGCAATAATAAACGATTATTCAAAATCACTGCCCTGCGTGATCATCCGGCCATCCATAGTTGTCTCGACGGCAATTGAGCCTGTACAAGGATGGCTCGATAATTTCAATGGACCCATAGGATTATTTGTTGGTGGAGGAAAGGGCGTTTTGCGTGTTGTTTACGTTGATCCTGTTGTTACTTCCGATTTTATACCCGTGGACGTAGCAATTAAAGCGATGATAATTGCTGCTTGGCATCGTGGACTCAAACCGTAAGCTTACTGATTTTCTCACACGATAAAGTTGTATATCAATCTTTATTATTATTTCTTAAAATATTAAGTAGATGTACATCACGATCAGATTGATATTTATACCGTATTTTCTGTAATTCAGCATCACCGAAGACGATACGATGCATATTTATAATTGCTCGTCGCACGATGTAAAGCAGATCAACATAAAAAATTTGATACAAATGGCTTTTAAAATAACAAAAGATGTTCCATTGGAGCAAATTGTCTGGTCGCCAGCTACTACAATAACAAAGAATCCCTATATGTATTATATACTTGTTTTAATTATGCACATTTTCCCGGCATTTTTCATCGATAGAATCATGAAATTATTTGGTGCACGTCCAATGTAAGTTTCATTTGAGAGAGATATAAGGATTTTCTAAAAATTATATATATATATATATATATATATATATATATATATATATAATTATAATTATAATTTTATATATACAGGGTGCCCTAGATCACCCGTACACCCCTTTTCTTTCAAAAACTAAGTATTTTAGAGAAAAACGTTTTCGACAAAAATTGTATGGTTTTGAGGGGAACATAAGATGGTATCATTGGTTTGACTTTGGATGGCATCGTTAAGGTCAGGTCAAGGACATCTTTAATTTCTTAAATGGAATCACCTATTTTTTATTGCATATTCTTATAGCTTATGTCGAAAGCTTTCCAAAATACTATAATAAAGTATTTTTTCATTGAGTACTTTTCGATTTATAAGGCTTAAAATAATATCTTAATTTTTACATAAACTATAAAATATCTAGTAAAATATTTATTTTTCGATTATCTTACCTTAATACTTTTATGTACAAAATAATGAGAATCAATTGGTGTAAAAAAAACACATAATTGTTCCAAAGAAAAAATATGTAATTTGCAATTAACGATTACATATTTTTTTTTAAAAACAACTGTATGTTTTCTTTACACCAATTGATTCCTCTCATTATTTTGTACATAAAAGTATTAAGGTAAGATAACAATTTTTGTCGAAAACGTTTTTCTCTAAAATGCTTAGTTTTTGAAAGAAAAGGGGTGTACGGGTGGTCTAGGACACTCTGTATATATATATATATATATATATATATATATATATATATATATATAAAATTATATATATATAATTTTTTATATATATTTATTTATTTATTTACTTCAACATAATTATAAATATACTCATAATATTAAGTCTCTATATGAGATGTTCTATAATTATCGCATTTTCTCTTGATTATAGGAACTTTTCAGTGAGGATTTTCCAATCTACTTTCTTTCACTATCTTTTAGCTATCTTTTAGCAAAATTTTTAGCAGTTATTTATGTTGATATTTTAATTTTATCAATGTTAAACATATGATAAAAAATTTTTAAGTAATAAAATTCCGAGAGAAAGCTAATAAATATTACGAGAATTAAAATAGCTGCAGTAAATGTTTGTTCCTTAGACTTTTTATATTTCTTATTTATTACTTATTCTGTTTTATAATAAATAGTAAAAGCTTAAACTTGTTACGTACGAGTACATATAAAAAAAATATTTAAGTGAATGCTCTATTTTTTTAATTAAAATTACAGGTTATTAAAATTACAGAGAAAAATCTACTGCGCAAATAACGCATTGTCCTACTTTTTGACGAATGTATGGACATTTCACAATGAAAAATTAATTAATTTATTCGATGATCTTAGCGCAGAAAATAAACAACATTTTGGATTTGCTTACAGAGATTTCAACATTGAAAATTACTTTAGGTAAGTATTACAATATTGTATGGTCAGTATAATAAAATCTATTTCTTCTATTCTTCTCTTTTATCATATTCGTTTATCTACTAGAAATGGATTAATTGGCGCAAAAGTATACTTACTCAACGAAGATATGAACCAGCTAGAAGCAGCTAGATATCATCGAAAAAGGTGAGGTAGCATGCACTTTATAAAATGAAACAGTTTGGATCTGCACATTTTTTTCTTCGCTTAATTTTTCGAGCTTGCTTCTTCTCCTTTAGAAAAAAAAAGATGTTAAGGTATTAATAGTCTTTAAGTGTTATAAGCGATTGAAAAGAAAAATTTTTATTGACGATGAAGTTGCGAAATTCGCGTCACACACTAAATACACACTTAGAATAGCAGCAACACGTGCGAGAAGATTATATCATTTTCGAGATTGGAATGTGTATAATTTATCACAGCTGATTCTAAAAAAAAAAATCGAAGAATCAAACAGAGATATAAAAAATTAGAGATAACGTTAACATGGAAATTCGACGTTACGAAGTTGCATATACAACTGTTTGGTCGATCTATTGTGCGAAGTCCTTAGGTCGTAACGTAGGAACGCGCATTGGCAACGAACCGACGAAAATTTTCGCGAATTGTTACGCCGTCGAACTACTTTTAGACGCCTGTTAATTTTAGTTTCACCGAGAAGAAACAGATGTGCGCGTTTGTTAGATTTTTTGTGTCTTTCTTTCGCAATGTAATCGCAACGAAATGGTACAAATATGTAATTATGACACGTTACATCGAAATTTCATCTAAAATTTCATCTAAATCTCAGAAACTCATCTAAATCTGGAAAAACGAAGATATTGCTTTAGTGTTATTAGCAATTTTTTTAAGTTGATTTCGTAGAAAAACACGAAGATATGTTATGAATTTCAATTTGATGAAGATATGTTATGAATTTCAATTTGATGAAGAAAAAATGCATTGTCGCGAATGAAAGAAGTCGCGCAAAGAATAAGAATAAACTTGGGAAGTATATTAGAAACTTTTCTATTTTAATTTTATACTAGAAACTTTTTTATTTTAATTTTTTAGAGTTTTCTTTTTTAATCTTGAATTTACTAATTTTTAGTATTTTTAATCAATAATCTTAACTATGGCAACGATTTCTTTGTATCAGAAAAACTGTCTTACAAATTGGTTGATTATGGATATACAATAGGTATTTTATTTATTAATATACAATAGGTATTGTTATTCTTTAATGATTATAATTTATCTTATACTATTCTATATTTCTTGTCTTCTTTTTCAGAATTTCTTCTATCTTCTAGCTTTCATCGTGCTTTCCTCATCAAAGCTACAAAATTTTTATACATAGAGAGTCAAGTTTAATTTATCTTTCAACTATATTAAATGAGAAAATTTAAATTAAGGATTGAAATTTGCATAGCTACATATTTATCAATCATATATATATATATATATATATATATATATATATATATATTCCAAATAATTTTACAACGATTTTACATAAATTCTACATAGCTGCTGCATCCTAGCGTTCAGAACAGCATATATATTATTAGACATTTGCATTGTTAATTGTAAGAATATATATATTTGTGTTTGCACATTCATCTTCCTAAGGATCTGAAAACATTCATCGATGATTACCCGTTTGCATTTTAATTAGATACATCATATATTTGCGCACTTCAGCATTTGCATAGACGGATTTTATCGGTCGCAATTTTACATTTCAATTATTTGTAATTCAAGTGATATTCTAAGAAAATAACGAATATATTAAAATTTTATTAGTCGCATGTGTGTAAAAAATGCTTCATAAATCTCTCGCAAAAACAATGTGCGTAATGAATTACGTACGCAAGGCACTTCTTATCGCTGTTTATCTACCATGTATTCAATCATTGATTTGTTCATTATTAGCTCTTTCGTTAGTTTTCCTTGTAAAATGTAACAAGAATCTGTCTTGACTTTATTGTAGTTATTGTAATTATAATCGATACTTTTCGTCTCTTAAAGAGTTTATCTTCACCTTTTTTCTTCCTCGGATTTCTTAAATTTAACAAATTCAAGTCAATATTTCTCCTGGAAATGCTTATTGGATTGAATCTGAATCAAATATAATTAGATAATCATTTCTTCATCATTTCTAAGATTCTTGCCTTCACTTTGCAAATTTTACTTTACTAACTGATCATAAATCAATATGCTGAAAAGAGAATAAAATAATGCTTAATATTCTTAATACATTTCAGGATGGACTGGCTCAACAGAATAACCACGATGTTGTTCGTCATACTCATTTTATGGATATTTTATCGTAATAACACTCTGTCTTACATTACGAATTATTTTATCCCTTATTAATTATTAATTATTCTCGTAATTTTTCAAACTGCCAAATATGTATACTTTAATCTTGCTTTAATTGAGTATTCTGGCAATAAAAATATTCACAGCTATGTAAGTTTAATAATTTTCTTGCAATAATTTTTTTTTAGTAATGTACAGATTCACATATACACACAAAAGATTCGAGACAATTATCGCACAACTATATAAATATCTTATTAATTAAGATTTGATAAATAAAAATATACAAGATTTGATAACACCATGTATAATTATATAATAATAACAATTATATAATAATAAAAAAATAACTTTATGTCAACATAATATAATTTTTAATAATATAACTTTTATTTTAAAATTTTTAATATAATTTAAATATAATTTTTATTTAAGAGATATATTTTGTTTAATATCTAATATTATAAGATATAATTAATAATATTATAAAAAAATAAATAATATTATAAGATATAATCTTAATCATATTTTGAGCAAAATATATTTTTATTATATAGTATTATTTTTATTTATCTTTTTAATTCGAGATATTAATAAAAATTAAACATTAATCTCTTAGAATATATATATTCCTATTTATTATATTTTAATTTGATTAATTTGTCTATCTTCTCTCTTTCTCTTTCTATCTGAATTCATGTCATTGTCCTCTGCCAAAATATATTACGCACTAATCAAATAGTTTTTGCACACTATTCAAGCTACTATAAAAAACAATGTCTTGACTTACAACCTTGACTCGATCTTACGCATATAATACACTTATGCGTGCGGCATTTTCAAACGAAAAACGTCAGCGGATTAAGAATCGAGAAAACCTGTTTCATAATTCAAGGAAAAATGTTATCCGAGTCTACTCGAATCGGCGTTGAACTGGTAACAGAAATATACGCAACAACATATCCATATTCTTGGTAAGGAGACGGAATTCACGCCTGCACGATATCACACCTCAAACTGATTTACAAAGTACTCATCTTTTTACTATGCGTCGAGCAGGAAATAAGATTGTTAATATCAATTATTTAGGATTATATCAATTCGCGATGAATCATTATTATATATGGCATAAATGTCATCGATTATAGAAATATCGAGCTTTCCTTTTAATTTTTCTTGTTATTCCAACGTGGCAATAAAATTGCATATGTCAACGAGAAAGAGAGAGAGAGAGAGAGAGAGAGAGAGAGAGAGAGAGAAGGCTGGGAAAATCGCGAAAATAATTAACGGATTGCGGGAAAGATAAACTGCGTTCGCGAAATCTTCAGTTACATATACACTGTTACTCCTGATAAAATCAACAATTTGTGTACGATTGCTGTATCTTTTATGACAACGATTACATAAACTTGGAAGAAAGGAGATTTACCGCCTAAACCAATGGAAGCAAAGATTGAATATAATCAAAACTTTCAATTCTTAAAAGAAGAATTTATAAATATATTATAATTAAATAAAAATCTAATATCAAAACTGAAATCAAAATAAAGAAATTATTATGACAAATATTGAAATTATAAAATTTTTATGTTTGTAAAAGAAGTTGTTAAGAATTTATACATATATAAATTATAAAGTATATATACTATACTTCATAATTTATACATAAATTCTTGTACAAACATAAAAATTTTATGATATATAACATATATTATATAACATATAATATAAAACATAATATTTTATAATAATTATATATCTGTGTATTATAATTATAAAGCTTTACAGATATACTAAATATAAATATACATAATTATAACTTTTATGCGATGTCGTCTAACTATTTTGAGAGTCCATGTGAAAATTATAATAAAATATACTTAATTTCAAACAAAATGAAAGTTTCAAGCTATGTAGCTTGTAATGTATATAGTGAACTATATGAAAAACTAATATAGTTCTTTCTTTTATAATTTTAATTTCAAGTTTCTCAAATTGTTATTATTAATTATTATAATAAAATATTTTCGAGACTAAAATCTTATATCAGAAAAAAAATAAAGAATAATTATTTATTTTCTTGAATTTTTTTGTTGTGTTTATGTATAATATAATGAATTTATTTTGTATTATACGTCGTTATTGCTTTTCTGCATTTCACGTGAATCATCAACAGTAAAATATTTGTTTACTTTTGTTGAAACTCTGAAGCGTTGAACATTTTATCTACTTTCATTGAAATCGCACGAAATACATGAGGCTTATTGAAGATGCGTGCAGAAGTTTTTGTAGATTGCAATGCTCGATTTGAAATGTGCATTATTTTGTTCGACAACATAAGAGCGCATAGACAAGAAGCGATTTTATACATTCCACGTCCTCATACGCTTTTCGAACAGAAATAGCGCCAGCATTATGCAATCATTCTCAAGTAAGTCAGGAAAGAATCAAGAAGAGGTATTTCCGAACGAATATTACCTACTTGAAATCGAGAGATTTCTAAAATAATATCGGAAGAATAAGCAATTTTTCATTTAACTTATTTCGTGAGCATGTTTTATCACAATAGAGTCACTTGTTATTGAAAAAAACAATTGTTTTCACTTTATTAGCATGTTAAAAATTCGCATGTGAAAGACAAATTGTTTTTATTCGAATATCTCGTGTAATTAAGCAGAATATAAAAGGTAATGTTTTTTTATGCAATTTAAAAACAAATTAAACGTTTTCTTTTCTAACTTTCAGATTAAATTTAAATTATCTCTCTGCAGTCTTCCGAATTAAATTTCTTGAAATAAATTTTTTTATTTCTTATTTTAATCTCTATATTTCTTATATTTAATTATATATTTCTTATATTATATATAATAATATATTTTAAAATTAATGATAGATTGACTTGACTAAAAAAGTAAATGAATAAATTGATTTCAAATTTGAAATGATTTGCGTGAAATTTTACAGATTAAATTTCGTTTATAAAAACAACACGAGAGACACAAAGATCTAAAACAGATTTTTAACATTAATTACATTTAACATTAATCTCAGTGACGTATAAACCTATCGATAAATCGTATCGGGGTTTAAACCTATCTACGTCACAAGACTATAATAGCAGATAAGTTTTGCAAGAAAATTATATGCTAATTGCAGATTCGAATGTCAATTATTCGCGGCTACTCTGTCCGGTCTGTTGATTCCGAGTAAGTAATACATTGACGTCACGTTACACCTTTCCATTGCAAAAATAAGACCATTGCGTAAAGTGGCATTTTAGAATAAATTATGTCACGCGATTCATGTGGCTTTAATCATTTATGGTAAATTTCGTATACATTCAAATCACAATCACACGTCAATTTTCAATTGTATCAATCAAATTTACATATTATACATATTCGATAGACTTATTTTTGATTAATGAAACATAATAGTCTGCATAATTTAACTTCGTTATTTATATCCTGTGAAACAATTTCTAAGAAAAAGAAAAAGCACACTTTTCTATCAGTTACTCCAATCAGTCTTATCAGTTAATTTAATAAATATAAAACTTTCAGAGTAGATAAGTTTACAATGTCCACCTTCCGTATGTAATAATAGATACAGGTAATAGATTAGGTATTATAATTTGATTACAAAAACATATTCATTGTACATCTTTAATTTGGTAATCAACCGAAACATCCGGACAGATAATACTTTTCGCGCGAAACGTGATCTGGCAACGTAAACCATATCCGGACTCGGAGCGATCTGGATCGCGCGAATCATGGCGCTATCTCTGGGCTCGGTGTGTCTCCGATGATTCGAGCACTTGGTGACCTCTTTTATTCGCGACAAGAGAGACGGATATTCTTATCGCCCGTATGTATTCGCATCTGCATATGCGAATCGATTGGTCCGCTTTCCCCGCGCTGCATATCCCTCGTATGTTTTTTTTTGTGTCACGCATGCTCTGCTTTATAAATCGCGACTAACAATGGCGATCAATTTTTATTGCAATTTTTAATGGGCGGATTTAATTTTTCCTCTCATACCGTTTTTTCTGGAATATCGCTAAACAGGATATGTATATGACATTTGTCTTGAAACGCAAACAAACAATAGTGTCGCGTTTGTGTCAAAGTTAATAATAAACGTCAACTAACGCGCACTTATTTCACTCAGTTTTTCTTCTAATTCTTTTGAGCGCTTGTTTAAGAAAGCTATTAAAGGTTTTTAAAGATTTCTCTCTTATTTCCTTCTTATTTTTAACGTGTTTTTGTGTAACTTTGCAATTAAAAAGATTTACATTGCAAAATAAAATCTATTTTATATTTATAAAATATTTTATATTAATAAAATCTATTTAATATTTTATTAAAAATGTTCGTCGTTTACTTATCTTTTAGCCTCTTAAAATTTATTTTAAAGATCTTTTAATTTTTATCACTCGAAAATTATTCGAGAATTATTAATAATTGGTTCAGTATCATTAGAATTAATTAATCACTAGAAAATTATTATGACTTGATATTTCTTTTTGCTAAAATAATCGCATCGCTTTTAAAATTGACTAAAAAAATAGCCATCAAATTAATTTTAATATTTGTGGATTTTAATAATATCTACAAATTCTGTTTTTCTAAAAAATTGGCAAAATTGTTTATTTATTTTTAAAGCTAGTTTATGTTAATATGACGTTTTCCTACATATATATTTATTATACAAATATACTATATATTTAATAATTAACATACATATTGACATGTATCGTTATCTTTTAAAACTTATTCAAAACAAATATACTATTTAATATCGCAACTTATATTGTTGATTTCTTAATCTCTAAGTATATATATATATATATATATATATATATATATATATATACCATATATATGTACACATATATACTTAGAGATTAAGGAATCAACAATATAAGTTGCGATATTAAATAGTATATTTGTTTTGAATAATATATATATATATATATATATATACATATATATATATATATATCTGTTTATATTTATTTACGTTGATAGCGTTCCTCTCGTTGACCAGTGAGTAGATGGTGACTAATTTCGCTTACGGACGACGTAGTCGGCTCAATCTCTGAATGCAAATTAAACTGGTCGGCCTTCCTCGGAAGTGGTTCCGCGGTGATACTTGTCAGTACGAAGATCGGAGGAAGCAGAGGATTGAAGAGGCAGGAGGAGAAGCGAGAAAAGATCAAGATACGCTTATTTCGTATATGAATCGAATTCGACCGAATATCTGGTGGGAAATTTGGTATAATTCGATATGAATTAGACAAGTATACATAAAATTAATTAATAATATATTATTATTATAGTATAATTAATTAAAAATATATATGTATACTATTATAAAGTGGAAATTCATTCAGTTCGATATTTATTACATAGTAGACACAACTGTGACGCTGATTGTCAAGCATCAATGCGCCAAACGAAAAGAAAGAAACAATTAAGTGAGAGAAATCCATTATCAGTCGCAAATTCATAAGAATTCGTTTGAATTCTTGTAAATCTACCTAAACGATGTAGAACCAAGAGTAAACAACATTGATAAATGACAGTGATATATTGAATTATTCGCGAAGTTTCATCAAAGATGTACTTATTTCTTTCTCACGCGTTTTATAATCGCTCATAATTGTTGCAATTGTTGTTTCTCTCGCTTACTTACAATGCCTCGCATTGAGAAAAGCCGCGAAAAAAGAGATTTATCGTTCTCGTATGATGTATTTTTCACACTCCAGCGTATCGGATACTTCTACAATTCAAGTTTATTATAAAGATTGACAAGAGTAAGCGCTTTTTGATTATAATTGCATATGTATTATACATGCGTCAACATTTTTCCTACAATATCTGTGTAAATATTTATGTTATCTTGTGCGTCTCCGCGAGTACTTGTGTCATTGATATCTTTTCGGCGGTTTCTGAATGCGCGTCCTATAATTCACGTCTCGACCATACGTCGGGAGACGTATTTGTTTTTTTTTTTTTTTTTTTTACATATAAATGAGAATCTTTCAAATTTTTTAAATTTAAAATAATATCGATTTAATCTTCCAATTCCTTTTCGTACACTTTTATATTATATTTGTCGTTTTTCAATATATATTTAATATCGTTCGTTTAATTAACATGAAAATTCGCCCTGTAATTATTTATGAGCACGTGATATCGTCGAAGAAGACGGGGGTTTTTTTTCAACATTTCTCCGTCTTTTTATAAACAATTCGTAAATGTTATGCGTGGTAAGTAGCGTTGTGCAATTGTTAAAACAGACAGCGCGACTTGAATACACCTCGTTAAGCTAAAGTCCAATGTAAAGCAAAGTTAAAAATAAAAACAAGAGAAAGAGAAAGAGAGACGGAAAGAGAGAGAGAGAGAGAACCGACGCGCGGACTCAAGATAAGATGTGGTCGTAATATGTATGCATAGAAATTAACGCACGTGTTACTACACTACATAGTATACCCGAGGGAGAGCAAGTGATTAATTTTGCGCGTCTTGACATGCTCAAATGTTAATTAGACGAGTGGTGGTGTACATACACGAGCTGACAAACGTATGTATCCATGTGGAGAACTACGTAAACGACGGTGACATCATCGCCGACGCATGCGCATCGACGATGGATCCGATCCATGACCGTACCATATGAACGGAATTGGATCCTTAATCCAACAATGAAAGTAGATTGGAAGAGATTGGTAGCCTAGCGAAATCTCTTCCGCTCGCATCTTGTTTCCTTTAAAAATAAAAAAAACTCGCTAGTCACACTTAATTTACCAATGACTTATATTTTTTTAAGAGGAGAAAGAAGAACAAAAGGGGAAGGAAATTGAATTTTTTACATCAATAATTAATTAACTAAATAAGTATCTGTAATTAGTCTTAAGAAATTATAAATATCGATTTCTCATCTCGATCTTTTTATTCAAAAAATATTATTTGTCTATCTGTTTAAATAAATATTTTACACAATGTTAAAAAATATTCTATTTTTCAATCTGCTGTACCTTTTAATACCCTTTAATATACATAAAATATTGATATTCGGCAATATAATATTTTATATATCATCCACAAGTTTAGATAGAAATAGATTTAGACTGAAATGTATTATTATATCTTGCGAGGAAAAAAAAACGTATTGCTTAAAATAGAAAACTTAATATTCGAAAATAGTTTCGCAATAATTTGCATATGGTAACAAGTAACGACAGCAGTAATAAAACTCCGGAAATACTGCAACGTTTGACGATTACGAGCATTACTTTTATATGCATTAGGGGGTCGATTGGTACTTAAATAAAGAAGAGAGCGAGAGAGAAAGTAACTTTTCAAATATTGAAAAATAAAAAAAACACGTATCGCGAGTTTATATTATCGGGTTGTTGGAAATTACATAACGAGAAAGCTCGATAGCACAAAAGAGGCTTGCGAGACACGATAACGGAATTATCGCCGATACGATACGTACGTACTATGTAAATGTGTGTACGTACAATGATACGGTATGGTTGCTTAACATTGCTTAACATAACGAGCCGACACTTTATTGCGACGCAATCTGACAAAGCGATCTTGCATCGCCATAATGCACAATTATCTTTTTTGGAAGACGCATATAACGCTTTTTAATCCTTTGAAAACGACAAACGTTAACAAGTTTTTTTCCAAAAGACGGCAAACATAAATTTTCGACTTTAATCGATATATATTTAATCGATATATATTGCATTTTTTCACGTTTTGATATAAAATATATAGAATTTCAAGTTTTCTGGGAATGAGATCAATTCGATGACTCAAAGTTCAATTGATCCGAGAGATTACCAATTAACATGCGAGATCAATTGGAATCGGAAATAGAACAGAGGAAGAGGTTTATCGATGAGGATCATTTCCCTTCTCTTATTCAGCTTGAGTCTAAAGATAAAAAAAGATAAAGAACAAAAGTGATAAAAAAAAAGATAAGGAACGAAAATGGTGTGTATTAGTGAGAAAAGAAAGGAAAAGTTCAGAGTCGAAGTGAATATTGATCAATTATAATGTTGATCTGACATTTCTCGAGAGAACTTTAATAAGAAAGAAGAACCGCGTTTATTTTTATCGAGTAAATTTTTGACGGATTTTGTGAGTTTGATTTTCCAAAAAAAAAAAAAAAAAAAAAAAAAATTAATTCTCTCTCTTCTAGACTCGTGTTGCTCCGAGGTACGTTACTGGGAAGAATGCGATTATGACGCGTCGGTGGGTCGTCGGCACGCGTCAATGAGTAGCCAGCAGTCCAGCAGTCGCGCGCGCGTATCGCTTCGGATCGGCACGTTTTGCGTAGCGCGGGAGTGTCATCGTCGTCGTCGTCGTCGTCGTCGTCGCCGCCGAGGGGGTGGGGGACAGATCTGTCTCGCGAATCCGCGTGGCCTTGGCGGTGCGCGTCGGGAAATACGCGCGCGATTAGAATAGGCAGAGACGTGAGAGCGGACGTGGAAATTCCAGAGAGAGGAGCAGCGATTTCCTCGGGGAGTCTGCGTCGGAGGCTTCTGACGTTTGCGACGAAGCCAAGAGAGCGAGAGAGTCGGAGATACCGTTGGCGGTGCCCCGTCTCCGATTCGACAGGAGTCACGGACGCGAGATAAGGATTCCGAGTGTGTCTCGCTCGATTATATTGCGGAGCGTTTCGACTCGAGCGCCGAAGGTCGTCGGCGTACACGCGTAATCCGACTGACAGGCTGCGGAGAGCACGCGCGGGTGTTTTCGACTGTCGCCGCGCGCATGCGCGCGGGCGTGCGGCCGTGCGTGCGTGCGTACGTAAGTGTGCACCGGATCGCTCGCAGAATCACAAGCGAGTCTCTCCTTCTCGTCGCTGAGGTCTCGGACGGACTCGGTTCCCGCGTCGTTCGAGGTGCCAAGAGAAAATCGAATCGGAAATCGAATTAAATGCACTTTCACGGAGCGCAAAAGAAAATATATGTATGTACGTGTGTGTGTGTGTTTCTCGAAAAAAATTGAAATGCACGCGTAGACATTCGCTCTACGCTCTGCGCATCCTAAATTAGATTTTACGAGACGCAACGAGATCGTCGAGACCGATCGTGAGAGAGAAGGAAGCCCGAGTTCCAGGGTGAAAACGGAACAATTTGGGAGCGATGAGCGGAGACGAAGATACGAGAGCTACGCCCGGAATGTGAAATATCGCGTGCCGTGCGATAAAGAGATCGCGGATTCGAGATCGGCGGAAAAACCGGCGCGGACTTTCGGCGGTTGTCTCTTTCGCGAGTGCGAAGGCCGCGCGTGAAATGCGCGTTACTTCGACAAGCGATTCGCGCTTTTTCGAGAGCGAGTTTAAACGGTATTGTCAAAAACCTGTCCAGTTACGACGCCATCGATTCGACGTCCCAAGGAGACGCCCGTGGTAATTAATTAGCCTGTTACATTATTACGACACTACGTGAGGCAATATTTCGCTTTCTTTTTAACGAGCTCTTTAATGTCCACCAATAGATACAGGTCGATTTTTGCGAGAAGTAGTTCGAACCGCGCAAGAGCCTCATTTGAATAATTACGTAAACATTGTTTTCTCGAATAAAGATTTATGAATAGAGACAAAAGTTTCGCAAAGTTTTAAGATTTTTTTTATATATCAAATTTAGAAGAAACAATCCATAACAATCATTTTTCCTCATTTTTTTCCAATTCTTTCTTTCCTTACATGTACATTGAAGATTGGGATAAAAGATATTGCACCGGTCTAGGAATGAAAGAAAAGTTTTTCTATAAAATAGGTTTCTATTGTATCAATAAATATTTATTTTTATTTTATCATTTGTAATTTCTTGAAAAAAAATTCTAATGTAAAGCGTAACTTAATTAATTAATTTATCCGGGCCAAAAACCCATTATAGTGAGAGAGGCTAGAGAGAATCTAATTTTTTAACTTTTATATATATTCCGCCAATAAACTCTCTTGAATAAAAATATTAAAATAAATTCTCGAGCTGAAATATCGGTTTTCATGAGATTACGTGTCTTTAAAGACTAAAATTATAAGATATCAAAGAATAAGATTTTCTTATCTATTTGCGTCTCTGAAGTTTTATTTTTGAAAAACACTTTATTATCCATCTTTTATCGCTCTATAATCATTGATGAGAAAAAGAAAGAGAAGCAAATAGATTTGAAGCGTTAACATTTTTTTTATCGTGACAAAAAGAGACAGAGAGAGAGAGAGAGAGAGACAGACTTCATTGCATTTGTACAATAAAAACTTTGTTATGCAGTATAATTTTATACATTTGCAAGTTATGCGTGTGCGAGTTGCGTGATAATCGTGTGTCGATGTAGACGAGAATTAATATTCTTGTCGACATCAAATTAATATCTATTTCTTGGAAGTTTCTAGCAATTTTCTAACGATCGCGCGCATTCGTATCTTGCTTTTGATCACATATTTATTCTTATAGATGCAAAAAACACATGTCAAAAATATTCTGCCAAAAAGAATATAGCGTAAACCAATTTACGCTCTATATAATTTACTCAAATTTTTTTCCTATTTTTTATTTATTTTGTATTTTAATCGATTAATTATTTTATTTTATATCAATGTTTTTTATATAAAGATTAAATGATTCAACATTTCCCAAAAAGGGATTTTTCTCAAAAAGATAACTTTTTTTTATTTTAATCAAGAGAAAGATTGAGATTTAATAATTATGATATTTTTCAATAGAATTCTTGAAGCGTGACTCGGAAAACAAAAGATGTCAGATTTTTTAAACAAAGTTTTGTTGATGAAATTTAGTATTTCGAATTAGAAGAAAAGAATTTATGATTCTAATATTTATTACCTTAGATGCTCATTTATTTAAATTACGTGATTTAAAGTTTGATATCGTCATTGTTTGTTTTTTTCTAAGCGTATTATATTTTATATAAACAGCTGTTTAACTCACAGGTGTAAGGGTTCAGTTTTATTGGAAAAATTGTCAATCAATTATCCAGCCACGGAGATCCGATGGCCTTCTAAACTTTGATCAAAGTTATCGTTATATTACCATGATGAATAGCGGAAGCTAAACGAATTGAGTTATCAACGAAAAGATACAAATTGTACTAAGTTATTTAAAAGCTGTTTATATATTTTTTCATTTCATATATTTTATAATAAAATAGCTGATATTATGTTTAATATTTTTTTTTTTTTCAAAAGTTCTGTGTTTCACAAAAGTAAAAGTTTTAAATTAATTTTATAATATAAACTATTATAACATAAAACTAATTATATAATAATACAGGTCTTAAAGTAATTTGAAAATTTGTAGTGTTGCATATTGTTGTAATGATTGAAATTAATAAGAGTTTTATTACGTATTTAATGAACATCGTTCATCCATATGGCAATCGACTGTTAAACGATGATAATACGAGCTTTATTGTCTCGGGAACATAGGTTATCGTGAAATTTTTAACGAATTCTATTTAAAATGCAATTGCACTTCATGCGTGATGTTGCAAGATTCCCCATGCACATTTCTTTCATCAATAATCATTGTTTTTAACTACCGCTTATATATAAGTTTCTTTTTAATCTGCTAAAAATTTATGCAAGAGTGTATATATCATGTTGTATATTTCTTTCGCATGGAACATACGATGTTAATGAACGAACGTTATCGAATGATAAAAAACTGTCAAATAATATAAAACATAGTCCCGGATATCATAACGGAAAGTTCATATTTACTAATAGCGTTAAGTAGTTGCTCGACAAACACTTTTGCGATGATCGCAGTGACATCAGAAATGGTCAGAAAAAAAAGAAAAAAACAGTATTTATCTACATATATATAATGCGAAATATATTATAATGCGAAAGAATAAAAACTGCTTCTACGAAAAGATACGATTAGACTTCATCTTTTGAAAAATCTCAAAAAATTTTTATTGCTATATGTTTATTATTAATTCTTGCCGAATAATATGATGTGATATCTACAACATCTAATTGTAAGCGTTAAGACATAAAAATCATATTGTGCATCGTATTGTTTCCTATAATAAAATATCATGAATGTTTTTCAGATGATAACATTTTTTGATTTTAGATGATATTATTTAAGCAATTTTAAAATAACCTAAATATTTTATTTCATTGATTAGAAATAATTTTTGTGAAAGATGAATAAAAAAAATTAGACGTAATAAAAGTATTATATAAATAAATATAATTTTTAACAAACTGCAATAAATATGACTTTATAATTAATAATACATTCGTAAAAAGAATGTTAATTAATTTAATGGAATTATTTTTATGCTATGATCTGTGGAATTGATTTTTTTCAGATTCACAAATTCGAAGGGATATTAATTAACCAGGAAACATGAAGGTCTCTAATCAAGACTGCGCAAAATTAGGAAAAACTCAGGCTACATCTAACAAGGCGAATCCTGGCCATGTCACGCTGATCCAAATCGAGAAGTGTCCAGAACGCGTCTCGATTCCGGACTGTTCATCCATAAGCTCTCTGGAGGAAGGTTACGGATCAGCCGAAGATATGTCGACCAGCCCGGACACATCAAGCGCGGACGTGAACAAGAGCTTCGATCTCGAGAATAACTTTCGCGAAAAATTGAACAATTTCGAAAATATAATCGAGAAAATCCAAAATTTACATTTCGGGTCCAACGAGAACAAAAACGATGACAACAAGAAGAACGTCAATGAAAACGTCGATAGAACGTGTCGCGTTAGCAAAGAGAACAATGTGAACAATGAGGAGTATTGGGATACCTGCAACTCGCGAGCGAGCTCTCACTCCGATAACGAAGACGAAAATAATAACGAGGACGACAACGTCACAGTCGACGACAATGAGTATTGCCTACCCCTCAACTTCCGTGACGAGGAACCACGTCTCTCTCTGGACGATCGAAATCCCAACAAGGACGACGATTCGGAAGCCGAGCAAGAGCGACGACAGAAGCATGACTCCGATCTGACTGCACGGGGACCGATCAAGCCCGATTTCCAGACCCTACGAGCTGGTCATCCCTATTCCATGGTGAGCTCTCTGTCACGTGTCAACGACAGCGTGGACGTAATAGCTCAGGTGGACTACGATAAGACCGCCGAACAGATTTTGAGGAACAAGGATTATAGCGAGAAACTGAATCCCTGTTTGGATAAACTATCGAATTATCGAAATAATCAATCGTCGATTGGAGAGATAATCAGTCTGACACTGGACTCTGGTTGGACTGGAGAGAATGGCGGCGATATCGTTCACAGCGGACATCCTAGCGATGACGTAAGTCTATTAAATTGTCATTGAGACTATGTAGTATTACGACGTACGATAATGTTCCTACAAGATTGTGTACTCGTAAGGTCATCGTCACGTCATGAGAGTTCAAATATTGAGGCGCATTTTTTCTTCCAGATAAAATTATATACAAGTCATCAAAAGCAAATAATTACTTATGTTTATATTTTTGAATTAATATGCGGAATATTTTGATAATCACTTGCGATTTAATATCACGTGAAAAACAAATTAAACTGATTAATCTGCACATTCGATTGTAATAAATTAATCATGTCACATATTATTTTTGACTCTATCAATTTGTTCTTTAGACAAACAAAAATTTCTAACTTGACTTGCAACGAAAAAAAAAAAACATATTAAAAATGATAAAGATTCTTGCTTTATGCAAATCAATCGTGCGATTATGTAATTATTTAATCGATCGATGAAGGAAAGCATAAATTACATACGACTAAAATTAAATTGTATCGGAATAAAACATAATACTCCGCAGAAAGATTTCCCAAGTACTTTTGCTTAGTTAAACGAGGATTTATCTTCAGACCGCGACACTTCCCCCCATAACCGTCAACGATCCGGGAGAGGAGTCCTTGATGGAGATCCTGTCGCGCGACGGCTTTCAAGCGGCGATACTCTCAGACGCCGGTAGCCACTCGATCCCTTCGCCGAGAAGCACGAAAACCTGGTCCGATTCCCCGGCGAGCAGCTACAACTACGTCGTCTCGAGGTCGAATAGTCGGGCATCGAGTCGCGCCCAGTCGCCCGGATCGGCCATCAACTTGGAGTCGCCGCAGATGCACATCAACGTCATCGGCAGCCCGCTCGGTTCACCGCAGGTAAGCCTGGCGCGATAATTCGCATAAATGCATGAAGAGCGACGCGCGCATAAACAGCAAAGGAATAAGTAAGGTCGCGGCGCATAATGAAGCTTTTCACGGGAAGGAGAGCGGCTGAATTCGGCGAGAATTTGATATTAAATAACGATCGCCGCGTCTCAAGTAACGATCTCGATCGAGCGGAATAAACTCGAATGGAATCTCTTTTATAGATTTTAAATTTATTCGTGATAGATTGATATCGAGCAAAGCGCGATTTATCTCTAGACTGACTAAAATCTGGCGCGATTTTTGTAGACAATTTTTGTAGACGATATTTTTATTATACATTCAACCGACTATATCTTTTGCGATGTTATCTGTACAATTTCTATTCCGTTCCTTATGTATTTGTGCTCATCTGATTAAGTATTTGAGTTTTTATGCATTTAATAATGACATTTTTTTCAGACGTATGTTTTTATGATTCTTCGTAACATTATTTCTTAAGTCAAAAGATTCTATTATTAGGTACTAAGTTTATTATGCGAGAAAGAAAAAGTGTAATAAACAATATTTAAATGTGGGAAGGAAGAAGTATAATAAACGAAATTTGAATATTTAAAATTGACTTCGTGACCGATGCGCGTTGTGTCGTTCCGTCTATAAAACACCTTTTATCACCTATTTCACGGAGTCTCGTAAAATAATTATCTGACAATTTGTACGAATTTATGTCGCGGACATTCATCATATTGCACCGTGATAGATAAGCGTGAAAGTGAATCCGATGGCAGGTGATTTCGATTAATCGGAATCGAAATTTTTTTCGTTTAGATTGCGTCATCAACTTATCGAGCTTTACCATCCTCCTCGTCCTCGTCGTCTAATCAATCCTACAGTGACGTATCCAGCCCGTTGAATTATCAGACACCCCTGAATCGCCAACTCCAGGAACAACTCGACGAGACGCTGTCCGGTTGGGGCACCTACGATTCCTCAGAAACCATCGTCAACAGCAGTGATACCATCGACAGCTCGTTACTGCGCGAGCTGCAATTCGTCGAGCAGGTTATAGAGGAGGTCAAGCAACGCAAGGAGCCGCTGAAGGAATTGCAGGTCGCCTCCAACGCCCCGTGTTTCTCGTCGAACTACAACGATCGATGCGTTCCCCCGATACGAGGAACATTGGAGAACAACCTGGAGTTCGAGTGTCCTGTGACGAGCGATGCGCGAAAGAGCGAGAAGCCCATCTGCTTGGATGTACTTAACAGCCAAGCCAACCCCATCGGCAACCTTATGTCGATTTACACGAACAGGCAAAACACTAGTGGAGGCACGCTTGTGAATTGCACAGTTAACGGCCAAGCGGCTACTGGTCTGGAGCAGAGATATTTCGAGACGAGCGTAAAGAACTCTCAGGTCGACGTGTCGACGTATACCTTGCACAATATCGCTTTAACTGATAACGAGAGGCCCGTGAAGATGCCCGAGACGAACGGAGTATCTCGGGAGAACTACGCGATGCCACGTGCCATATCCAACGGAGAGAAAAGATACAATCAGGCATCGTCGACATTTGTATCCAATGACTATCAGATACCGACGATGGTCTTCCCCTCATTTACATCCAGTCCGCAGAGGTAAGCTGAACAAAATAATTCTATTACAATGAAAAGCCTCTTTTTCTTTCTTCGGAGATGATCAAGATGTGCTCCAAAATGTGCTCCGTGTTCTTCTAAATGCATCTTCATTGCGTTTGTTCTTTTTAGTTGCACTGCTGCACTAGCGCAATAAGTTGGAAAGAGACAAAAATACTTTCTTTCACTCTAACTAATTGCACTAGTGCAATAGTGCAGCTAAAAAGAACAGGCCCATTGTGTATTATTATCCAGTGCTATGCAGTGCAAAAAATATTATATTCCATATTTGCGACAAGTTAAAATCAAAATTAGTAGCAGATAAATAAAATGCATCGCAATAAAACATACGATAACGAAAAAGTTTTTTTTACGATTAACTACTTAAATTCTCTGATAATATTTTTGAGGGCATTGAAAAATGTAGAGACTAATTCGTAAATAACAAGTAATAATCTCTGAATTTTTGTGTTACATAAATATATTTTCGATTAATTTTTCAATTTTAATTTGTACGAAAGCTATAATTTTTATATCACTGTTAAAATGTATAATTATCATGGCTTTCGCATGAATATGATATGATAACATGTGTGGTTAACGACCCGGTCTGTTGCGACAGAAACTCGAATCGAGGCATATTACCGTGGCCTTCGTTAAACTTGCCATCCGTAGAAGCGAGTGAGAGATTAAAGGAAGGATTGGATTCTAAGGAAGTGGAAAGGGCCATGAGTAATCTCTTGAAGAAATCCGTAGAGGAACTAGCGGCTGCGGATGAGGATGGCGATACGTAAGTGATTCGTTTCATTTTATATGTAAGTGTATGAACAAAGCGTATGTGTATAAAAAAATACATACGTCTTATATATGTATTTAAATACATATATCGATTGATACCATCGAACATATTATTTTTATGCAATTAATAAAAAAGAATAAACTCTGTCGTTTATGCAAAATTTAATTAATCAAGTTCAACATTTTTCTTTTACTTTTAATCTTATTTTTACTGACATGCAATGGATTTTTTATTTAAGTCGCATTTAAAATTTTTATTGTTGATAAGGAAAAAATTGGAATAATAATTTTTATTAGCTTAAATAAAAATCCATCACAAAAAGTCACTAAAAATTATATAGACATATCTGCTGCGTGCTTAATTAAAATACTTTCCATTAATTTACTTTTTAATTAAGAAAATTTGAGACGTTCTAAATAAAAAAATCTGTGGATCACATCGGTTTGTTTTCAAAATCGCTTCTTTATTTAATTACTAGTCTTTAACTCATCATTGACTTCATATCGTTATATGTGTATTATATAATAGGCCATTGATGTGCCTGGTGGGCAATCCGGAAGAATTGACGGAGAAGAAAGCTTATCTGGCACCGTTGGTCGAACGATTGGACAACATACCGGGCGCCTTATCGGCGATGAACAATCGCGGAGAGGACGCTTTATATTTGGCCGTTATGAATTGCCCGGAAATGCCGTATGTCAGTGGTTATCTGGCCGCCAAGATGCTGCAGAAGGGGATTGATATTAATCAAAGATTATGCCACATACATGTGAGTTTTCTCATACATATCTGATTCCTTATTATAGGCGCGACTCGTGATTCTTTTTGTAGTTTGTTATAGGACTCCACAAGATTCAAAACAAGACAATATTCGTAAAAATATTGATATTTGAAAATAATTTCCAAAAACTTGAATCCTGCTTTAGTCTTGAGTGAATCTTTATAATAAAAATTTCATTTTGTATTGTCTTGTCTTGATTTTATCAATTTTTACACTGAACAATTATTTAAAATATATATAACATAATATCTCCTTCTAAAGTGTAAAATAATTATTATATTATTTATGTGTGTGTGTATGTGTGTGTGTCATTCGTTTATTTCCCAAAACACAATATATATATACATACATATATATATATATTCGTTGTCTTTACGAAAAGTTGCATAGTTATGTAGCCGCGACTTATATGTACACAATCAGAAAACCACGTATATGCTGTATGCAAGGTTTTAAAATAGTTAAATAATTGTAAAAAATATATTACATTTCTTTCATTTATTGTATTAATTATTTTTAAATTTGTTAATATAAATTTATATTAATATTTATTTACTAAATAAAATTTTTTTAGTTCGTATATCATGTGATGTGTTGTTTTGCATATAATTTACAAATATACATTTTTTAACTTTTTTAAAAAACGAATTATCTTGATAAGACTTGATTGTTTTGATAACTAATTAAAAATCTTATCTTGATCTTATCTTAAATTTCGAGACAAGATAAAACAATATTAAGACTAAAATGTTTAGACTCAATATCTTGTACAGCTCTAATTTATTAATCGCACATATATACGATTCTTTTGGTTTTAATCGAGCGTTATTACATTAGGAATTTGTTTGTACATGAAAAACGATTTCTATTACGGAAACACTTCTTATCGCTGAAGTAATAATAGCACGATTATTTCTAAATATATTCTCAAATGACTAATTATTTACAATTAACTAGATAATTGCGACTGCAACTTGAAAAAAAGGAATGGACGTAATTAAATGAATGACGTAATTTTAAAGATAATTTTATGCAATTTTCCTGATACTATCATCGTGTTTTCATTTTAGGGTGACACGCTAATACATAATGTCGTGGCGCGAGGCGATTCTCACGGGGAGGTTCTGGCGGAATTATTATCGTTAAAAACGCCTGAAGGCAATTCTGTTTTTAATCTCTCTCACTGCAATTACGATGGTTAGTTATGCATAGTACAGGATTAAAAAAAGATTGAAATTGCCGATCTGAGATAAATGGGGTGAGAATACGTGTTTGCGTATCGTTCCAGGTAAAACCGCTCTTCACATAGCGGTCGAATCGCACGATCCTATCGGACGGGGTGTTAAGTCCTTGATCACGACGCGTCTGCTGCTGGAGAACGGCGCAGATCTCAAGGCCAAAGATAACAAATGCGGCGACACCGCTTTACATATGGCGGCCTCGTTGAGTTGCGATCCGGCGCTCGTAAAGGTAATCTTCGTCTGAGGAGGATTTCCCTCCGCAGAATTTCTGCGTCAGTTATTCGCGAAATCGTTGTTACGTATCGCACGTTGTTGCATTATTGCAATACATCGCTCATTGGAATTACGAAGAAACTGTCTTCAACTATCGATGTAAAGTCTTCCGCGATTTTCTTATCGCGAATTGTTTCGATGGAAGGAGATATTCAAATGTCTGAACAATCTTGAAACTTTGAAAATTGCGAGAGTTTCCCCCATTGATTTTCTGACAAGCGTAAATGAATTATCTTACAACTGATTTCAAACGAACTTTATTTTAACATGAATTATTTTGCAACTTAATTGTAGTTAAAGTGTGTTTAATCTTGACAAACTTAAAGTTACTAAAGGCGATTTTGCGAGCCCTCTGTAGTTAGATAGAAACAATGTACGATTTCTAAAGCATTCTATATGATTGCTCACTTATAATGTACTCAAATGAGATATTATTCATTCTCAATTTTTTTCATGTTTGACTAGAGGAAAACATCAATTAGAAATATATAAATAGAAAGAAAAAAAAGTAATCCTTTCATTCTCATTCTCATTTATCTAAACGCTCGTGATAGCTTCATGATATGAAGTCCATTAAGTCTGATAGTGGATTGTCATACTAAATAATTATAAAACAATATCGCGTTGTTGTTCAGGCGTTAATAAAAAATCAATTTGGTGACCATCTAACGCTTTTTCTTTCGCATTTAACGCACATACAATAATTGCTTCTTGCTTGAGAGAAAAATGTATCTATCAAAAGCATAATTTTTTTATTTCTCTCATACATAAAAGGCAATTATTGACAATAAATTCATACATTTAAAATTTACTTATACTAATAATTAACATAATTTTCTTAATTTATAAATAGTGCACTCAGAGATTGTAAAACCAATTACTGATTTTAAAAATCACAATAAAAAGGGATTTAGAAAGACATTTTAAATATTTTTTTTAAATAAAATAATATTTAAAAACAAAATCCCTTTTTTTAAAATACTTTCAAAAATAAAATTTTTCAAAAATAGATTCTAGAAACTAGAAAATATGAGACGGCATTTTTAATATGAATTATTTACTTAGAATTTGGTCACAAACTTGCGCCACATTTTCAATTCGGGGAGAGATTAAATTGTATCATGAGTGATACGCGATATATCCTTACATTTTTCGCGAATTACACTCAGATTTTTCTCATTTTCAACAGGTGTTATTATGCAAGGCCACTTTGAGGATCGTAAATGAGAGCAATTACATATGCAATACGCCGCTACACATGGCCGCAGCAGTTTCGAATGCCGTGCCTTTGGAGAAGCAGAAGGAAGTTTGCCGACTCCTGATACAAGCCGGTGGTCAGACTAATATACAGAATCGACAAGGAAAGACACCTCTAGCTCTCGTATCGTCAGAAAGGAAGGAGGCTATCAAGAAAATATTCTATAAAAAATTATGATTAATAGATACGGGAAATAGACTTCGACCGATCGCGGACTCTACACAAGACTGATCTCTATAAGTGTTCGAAGGAGCAAGCATTTAAACTCCACGAAGATTTTTCGTACCGTTTGGTACGACACGATCGCGAAAAAACTTTCAAGACTGTGACTCTCAAATTAAGAAAAAGAGTATCGATATGAGATGTATACACATTGTGATCACACGAAATTGTTATAGTCCAAGTATTCGAGTTGCGAATCTGATAAGGAGCAATTTATAATAGGTGATTATGATTTCATATTCGCGATGTTGATCTGTAATCGCGGGCGTATAACTTTAAGAACTAATGATCAATATTCTTCTCTAACGGTAGAAATAAGAGAAAAATATGTTGTGTATGTGTGTGTGTGTATATTTTCTCTTCTTTTTACACACTTTCTCTCTCTCTTCTTTTCTTCTCTTTTCTCTTTTTCGGCAATGTTTATTATTCACATTGGAACTAGAGTTTCAGTATACTAATATATTATTTTTAATATATAAAAAGAGACTATAAAAATAATAATTATAAACATAGACATTTTATGCTAGACGGGATATTCTAGTGTTGTGTTGTTTATGAACTTTGTACAGTTAAAATATGGTAAATAAGATTATCACTTTAAGTCGTTAAGTTTTAATTATGTAGACTGCAATCGTTGCACTTCGATAATGTTTAAGTCTTTCACAATTAATAGAGAAGCATTTTTAACGATTAAATGCTTTTTAATAACGTAAAATTTTAGTCAAATATCTTACTTATATCTAATCTGTGATTTTTTTTAAACATTGAATTTTTATAATTTATTTAAAAATGTACAAAAAGTATACTTGAGTTATTCAAAATTGTTATATTCGACTCAACAACGAAGATATTGCAATGTTTGCAAAACACATTCGCAATTCTAACATCCAGTACTGAGATAATGTCTTTCTTTTTAATTAACATGTATATATTTTCTATCAATATTGTAAAGTAAAAACATTTATGTGCACGTTATTTTACAATTTTCGTTAATTAAACACTCGCATGTGTATATAATGAATTGTATGATACAAACACATGTAAATGCACACGAAAAAGTGATTATACAATTTCCCTAACTGTTCATCAATTTGTCATATCTGCTAAGAAAAATATCAAGGTTGATTAAGAAATATTTCCTCTAGTTATCTCTCTTTCATATCGCATTATTCGTCATTCAGAAATACAGAGAATAGGAGCGCTAATTTCATAAAATCATCACATGAGTCAATCTCAAATATTATTACAACACAGAGAAGGAAAAAGGGACGAGAAATAATAGCTAAAACGCAAGCTTCGTAGACGTGTTTGTTTTATAAATCGAAAGGTTGATACTAACGTAAGTCACTACTATTACTCTTAGATAATAAGTGACGTGTAAGTACGGTGTGTTGCAAAAGCGTTGCGAAAACGTGCGTCAATTCTGACGAAACATGCGTGTGTGTATCGTGTTGCATTAATATATTCCTATATGTAAATCGCAAATACATTTTTACATACATGATAATCGCACCGTTTGGTATTTCCATCTCTCCCGCACTACCAACGAACGATTTGCAATAATTATTTGCATATCGAATCTAAAGATGATTAGTTTTATATCCAGTGAATCCTTGCTCGCTGGTTTAATACAATTGATAATTTTGACAATGCAAAATTTAACAAATATTTGTAGCTATTTCTTTTTACAACAAAAAGTTCTAGAATGCGATAGCTTTTTGTTTTTGGATTATTATTTACATATATGTATCATAGAAAATAAGAAATTTCCATATAAAATTTATGGAATATAAATAATAATGGAAATACGATATTATATTTATCATGTAAGTTAAATTACAAAAATTTAAAAAGTTTGTATATTATAAAAAAAAATTAAATAATCTAAGTATTTTTAGAACTGATAAATTTAAATTTAATTTTAGTAAATTTATTTAAACAACACGTACAAATCTTGATCTATTGAATTGATTGTTTAATAAAACAAATACTGTAATGATCTCAATCGCATTTTCGATAAAAAATAAATCCGAGAGCGAAAGAACTATTTCGTTTTTCTTACAACCTCATCCTTAAAATAAAATTTAATCTTTTTCTATATAATTTAATGCTTATTAAATAATTCTACTTAAGTATATATATATATATATATATATATATATATATACATATATATATATATATATATACACATATTAAATAATTCTAATTATTTATAATATAGATAAAATAAAAAATGAGATAAATTGTTTTATTTTTATTCAAAGTTTTATTAATTATTCGAAAAAAATAATTGCAACAACTTCTTACCACCGATTTTATAATCAATACTCAGAAAACATTTCCATATCGTGTCGTAAAAGTTATTAAAATTTCTCTACTTTTAATACTGTAGTAACAAATTAAAATACTTTTTCTAAATGAACCTCTAAAAGATTAGATTGTCGAATAAACAAAATATCTATTGTGTGTACATATATATCTTAGCGAGAAGATAAATTTTAAATAGCTTCAAAAATATACTTACATAAACTTAAGAGTGCACATCTTGCCCATAAAAATCGTTTAAATATTTTTATCAAAATTGAATACTTCTCTTAGAAAACAAATTAGAAAGAACAATTTATGAATTTTAATATCGAATAATCAACTCGCCGCCGCTTACTTAATGTAGATTAGCATAATTTATCAATTTCAATATTTCGAGGTAATAAATTATTAAATTTATATGGAGACGATGATTGCATAATCATATTTCAATCTTCCATCACAGACGGTTTCTCTTTCCTCGCATCTACATATTATGCACATATAATGATTCACTACGGGGAATTGTAGCTATCGTAAAATACGAGCTAACTAATTTGTAATTTAATTAATCGCCGTATTATTCCTCTTTCCGTGCACGATTATTTGCATTACCTAGTATATTAAAAATAAACGCTGTTTATAGGAAAATTTGGACAATGTAATATAATTTTCTATAAAATTACGATTTTTTAAATATATTATTTAAAGATGTATTTATTATTTGTTCTAAATATTAAAATTAGTTCTAAATAATTAAGAATTGTAAATTTTGCAACAAAATAATAATTTATAATTTTTATTCTTATCGGTTTTTCCCTTCGGTTCGTACTTGAAATAATAAAAGAATATATCACAAGAAATGCACGATTCGATAAAAGCCATTACCTCGATACAATTATGCATCGCTTATTATTGAAAGTTGATTAATCGTTATTCACTATGATTATAGCAAATTATTATTTTATGTATCTCTCTTAGTCTGACTCTTCCCCTTCGATCTGTCCGACATGGGTGACCCTGCTGATAACGGTCAGTATTCATAGTCTGTTCTTATATTTAAAATCGTCATAAATAAAATTTGATACAATCTTATACATTTATTAGCCGAATGGAATCGTAAGCTCTTAAGATAATCTAAAAGTATAAAAATAATCTACATGAATATCGACATATACGTTACCGCCGGCATAGCTCTTAGGTTCATTAAAGTGCTCAAACCTCCTCACCCGGCAAATGCCTTCGTTAAGGTGGAGATACATTGAGGAGGAAGAAATTTATTTTATTTTATTTTTATTTTCTTTTAAAACAGATTTTTCAAATTTGCCAAATAGAAAATAAAGATACAAAAAATATACAAAGAATTTATAAAATATACATTATATAATTGTACAAAATATATCATAGTATATAATATATATAATCATAGTGTATAACATATTATATAGCTTGCAATCATATAAAAATATATTAATATATATTATAATTATAGAAAAATTTATATAAATTGATGATGCTATCAACATTAAATAAATATATATTCAAATTTATTCAAATATTTTCAATAACACGGATAATGATGTTGAGAGCATTAACACACACGCTTGGACTTATAATAATATTACATATATATATATATGGAAAGAAAGAGAAAGGAAAGTCCGAAGAGTGAGACAATTTTTTGAAAAATGAAGATATTGCAAGATATATTTTCCATTTTTCGACTTTTATTCAAGATTTATTCTCTCTATTGTGAGTGTTATAAATAACTTTTACATATAGTTATTGTTATAATTTTCATAATAATATAACTTGATACATAATATTTTATTTTAACGATATTTTAGCTCGAAATACAATATAAAGAGTTATATAAATTACAAAAAAAATTAATTTAATATATAATAATATAATCAAATTGAAATTGTATAATGTATAACAATAACAATAATAAAATATATATAACACATAATACATAAAATTGTTAATATATAAAATTTTACATTATTGTTAATACATTGATAATACATAAAATAGTACATAAAATTTTTCGTTAAGATATATAGTAATACATAATTATAACAATAATAAAAAATACATTATATAGAATACATAAAATAATACATAAAAAATTGTTATATAGAATATATACATAAAATATTTTATTATATTACACAAAAATATCAGAAATGCGTACAATGTAAAATTTATTAGAAATTTTTAGATTGGCGTAGAGCTGATAATCCATCACAACCAAAAGACTCATTAATAAATTTATCGATTATTTCTTTCAATAAGAAGAGTACCCGGAATTTTAATGCATTTTGCAAGATTTTCTAAAAGAAATATTATCTAAAAGAAATATTATCGCGAAAAGATAAACTAAGTTCCGATGTTACCCAAAGTTATTATAGTAAATGAGAAAAAAAATCGTGATTTAAATTTCACGAATATACATGAGATATAAATAAATTAACAGTAATAGTAATATTTAATTACAATCCATGTAATTTCTATAATAATCGCGACACAACGTGCGCACAAACAATATAATTATTATCATTTTATGTGATAATAAAAAGATTGCGACATTAAAGGCGCATTTCATATGATCTGTAATTGTAATATACGAGGAATCTGCAATTACAATATATACGTAAAAAATCAAACGCAGATGCAGAATCTAATACTCGATTTCTTTTCAAATATACAATTTCATGTAAATTTCGCGATCAAAAGTAAAATATATATCTTGTTCCGCGGACAATTGCAAACAGGCTAAACTTTAATGTTCCTTAAAATCGCAATATCACCACGTTCAATGAAGGATAATTGACCCAACGATTAGACCAGATGAAAATCCCTCTGAGTGACACGCTGATTAATATCTGACAGAAGGAAGAACGATCCTAAAAGTGGAAAGCGACTTCAATTTGTCTTATTCTTTTCTTCTATTTCGGATCTCGCGAAATCGATCGAATAGTTAAGTGATTCATTAAACATCAGAAGTTCCTCTACAGGAAGGAACGAATCCCCGATCTTCTTGATTGCTCCCGATAACAATGATTTTGGCAACGAATTAATGACTGTGTTACCCTTCTTATCATTTCCAATATATATGAGATTAAAATTCGCATGAAAAAAAACATGTTCTTCCATTTTAAGAAATATCTTTTTTTATTAAATAATGACAGGATATAATAATTTTTATATACATGTTACAATTGAGTATATTTAGAAAAAATGAAATACATGCGCTTTTATCATTACTTGGTTAAATATGTGAATAATAATAATTTTAGGGTACTAAATGTGCTCGAGACAAATCAAATCTGATAACAGCGAGATTTTTAAAAAATTCAATTTAAATATTTAACATCAAATAAAAGATTATCAAGGAATTAATTTTTCTGTTGCGTTTAATAGTTAACACTTAGCACGTAACAATAATTTGCAGACATCTTACTGATATCAGAGTACCCATTCCATTTGTCTCGAATTTTTTAATTACTCACACATTTTATATTATATCATGCATCCCTAATATATTATTAAGAATAATAAAAAAAAAGAGTTTTTTCAAATATATCACAATTTCGCACATGTATTTTTTTATATATACATATATATTCGTCTTACCTAAAATAAATAAATTAATTGTAATATACTGAAATAGTGGAACATCCAGTGCCTGCAAATGATTTTTTAAAAGAGACCACAAATAAAATTAATTCAAAATTAATTAGTAAAATATACTTGTTTGTAACCATAATTTTTCAAATAATAAAAATTTTACACAAAAAGTCTGCAAAAACTTATTAAATTAAATTTATATTTGGAAAAGTGAATTTTATCTATTATATCCATTTTAAACTATTATTAAATATTTTCATTATTAAAATAATATTAACATTAATAGAAGAACATTTTTTAATAACAAAAAAAGAAAATATATCTTCTTTCAAAGTATATTTAATGAATTTTGTGATCCAATTTCAAACAATGTACAGTGATCGTCGTTAAATCACTGCCAAAAACATTATTTTCAGGAACCGCCAAGAAAACCTGGGTTTAATTTCAATTCTGTAATGGAAACTTCCAATTTTTAATAACGCACCGAACTAAGCGTGGAAGATAGATCCTTAAAACCGACAAGAAATAATGAAAATCGTTTTGACTATCCGTCAGTATAAACCGTAC